ACGAAAGGCGCGCGCCCGCTGGTTAAACCCCAAAACACACTTGCCTTCAAATTAATGACCAACAATGGCGAGTGACCGTGGGTCGGCAGACGGAACGCGACGCGTGCCAAAGTCACGTAGCGCCATGAAAACCGGGGTCGGAGTTGGCCATATTGAACTTGGAGGGCCGACAGCCCGTGGGCATCCAGCGAATTTTTAACGTTTGCATGCAAAGTGCTAAAAAAAATGCAGAGCACTTTAAGGGCCTTTAAGAATGGGGGCGCAAATCGGAGCAGAGCACCCAAAACGACACACAAAGCGCCAGTTTATCTCAAGCACATTTATTTACTTGGCCAACACCGCCCCCTGTCCCTGTCCCGCCCCCTTTTTCACCACCTTCTCTTAGCCTGGTTTTTTGTCCTGGCCTGTGTAGGTTAAAATATTTGCGCTGGTTAGGAAAGCAACGCCCGCATGGCTACTTTACAGGCCACAGGCCACAGAAGGGGGAAAATGCTTTTCCCACAGCCAGGGGAAAATAGTTGGGAAACGAGATAAGAGTCAACAGAAAAAATAATAATATTCCTGCTGGCTGCCGGAGTTGCCAAACTTGAGCTCGTCTTTCAACTGCTGTCCTGGGGCCAAAAACTATTTCAATGCTCCAATGTGTCTGTTCATCCAGCTGATAATTAGAATATTTGGAGAAGATTCCAATTCCATTATAATTACTTCTACATGTCTGGGCCAATGTTCAAAATGGACTTATAGTTTCCTCGCATTTCCTTGCCATTGTTCCTCTTCCGTTTTCCCATTTAATGTTGGATCCTTTTGCGGAAAATGCATTGGCCCTCTGCCAATTGATGCCATTTCACTTGTTAAACATTTATGGAATTTAACTCGGCTATTATGTCGGATGCAAATTTAAGCCCTGCCATACTTTATAACAGATGGCATTTTGCCGCCAGATATTATTCCGCATTGAGCTTTAAATTAATTTTACACGCATTAAAATTCCATTTGGTGAAGTCCGGTACTTCACGTAATTTAAAAATGCTTTTGCCAGGGATTTTAATTCCCCCTTCAGTTTAAACATAGTTTATCGTTTAAGAGTATTCATGATTCACCTCGGTTTGTCCAATGGTAAATCTCATTCTTTCAGCTGGCCGGCTGATTAAATTGAAAACATTTCGCTGGCGTTGTTCAATTCAACGAAGAGCATTCGCAAGGACTTCTGTATCCTTTCAGTGTTCGCATTCTTCCTGCTCTTTTCACCCAGGAACTCGTGGGGAGGCTATTAATTTATACATTATTGGCAACCGCACAATTCACTTAAACACGCTCGTTAAGAGTGTGAAGCCGATCGAATTACCACTGCGAAATCTTGCAGTGCAATGTATTTTTTATCTGGGGGATATGCACTTCTTCTGACCGCCGATAAGCTGCTCCTGGGCAGGATTCGGTTTCGCAGCTGGAAATTTTCATCGCCACTCGCCGGACAAGATGGCCGGGGTCCACGTAATGAGATTTGCTAGCCGATACTCCGCATTTATTTATGACCATTGGCCCGTGCGGTTTCACTTACCCAATTCGCCGAAGGGAGACCGACGGACCACCGATAGCACGGACCATAAATCTGAAGTGTTATGAGCGCATTGAGTGGGAAAAGTTTTATCAGCGAAACACATTATTTTAGCACATTTCCGAACAGCTCAAATTCCCAATAGTACAAGACAAAGGGCGAGAAAGTAATGAAAATCGGACAGGAGAAGGATCCAAGTTTCATTCAGAAAAGGCCAATGGCCATAAAGAAAAACGTAATATCATCTCAAAGATGCTTGCCAGTTTCTTCATTAAACAAAATATAGAAAAACATCTTACTATTTAATAATTTACCTAGGAAATAACTTTAGAAAAGAAAGTTCCGTTGGCCCCGAAATCAAGAGAATTCCTTTTACAAACTCGATTTGGTTTCCTTGGGTTGTGAAAGACCCAGCATATTGCACTTGGCAGTCTGCCGAACTGTTAGTGAAAATCAATCGACTCAAATCGCATTTGTTGCAGAACTGCAGAGAAGGAACAGCATTCGTTACTATAATAAAATTTGAGAACAAATCAAGCCAACAATTGCTAGCAATTCCCCTTTCAATCACGGTCGCCTTGACAATGATAAATTTGCAGTCGATTGTTAAGGCAAAAGGCCAAGAGACTGTGGAAAGTTTATGTATAATCAGTTATAATCTGTTCACAATTAACAGGAAAATTCGCTTTAAATGAAAGGAGCTCTCAACTTATAAATCCATTAATTAGTTTCAATTAATTGGAATTAGTACATTTACTGGAAACTAATTTATAAAGCAAGATAATTGCTTTGCATCAGTAGATATTCAATTTTTTTTTAATATGTATTAATTATTAAAATATATGTATGTGACCACAAATTCATGATTTTAGTTAATTGTTATCCTATAAAAACAGATGATTATCACGTCAAAGACACCTCAGAATTGAAGTAAATCGCTTTATTATTTTCCAAGCACTCCAGATTGGTTTGCCGCAGGAAGCATTTTCACTAATTAGTTTTCCCCCTTTTCCGCTGCTGTTTTTTGTTTTCGGTTTAACAGATCAATATTTCATTAAAATGATTTTATAATTGGATTTATTCCGAGAGCTTAATTACATTGGTTAGTTTTAAAGCAATTGTTGATGGTATAATCGCCGTGTTTGTCCGCTGCCTCTTATTTATTTCACAGTTGGAAGCTGGCATGCATCATCATTAGTGTCGAATGTGCAGATGGCAATGCAGAAAAAGTAAACCAACCATCGCCATACTTTTGGACCTTTTGGCTGGTGTTGAATGGATCATTTGCACACATCGCAAATACACTCGCGCTGTTTGGAAACCAAATCACGATTCAGGCAACGACAGCGTTAATTAATTATTTCATTTCAGCATGCAAATAGGTTTCTTTCTTTTTTTTTGTAATTTTTTTCCCTGCTTAACTTTGCTGTTGTTTTTGCTGGTTTAATCTACTGCATACGCCGAAAAAGAGGGCTGACAGCGTAATGAATTCAATGACACGTAGTGCCAGCGTTCCTCGATTTTCGCAGGCAAAGAGGCAAAAGCGAAAATTGTTTGCGCACGTAAGTATGCAACGATTTATTTTGGCCCTGTTCGCTGACAGACAGAAGGACGACAGAAGGACGAACGGACAGACAGGCAGACAGAAGGACTCACGGGCGGATAGGCAAACGTCTTTTCATTTTGACCATGGCAGTGGCAGTGAAAGCTGGCTAAAAGCAGGATCGACACCTCGGTTACCCATTAAAAAGCAGTGTAGGTTTTGAAATAAATATTAACTGGGTATTTTGTTAAGCCACTAGAAAAATGTGTATTTATCATAGTTTTAATAAAGAAAGCTTATAAAATTTGACTTATTTTATATTATAAATTATTTTGTAAATTTTAAATACATAAAATATAAATAAAAATAAAATATAAAATAATTTGATTTATGTAAACATGCTGAAAATGTTTAATTTGTTATTACCCTAGCCAAAGTTAATAATTAAATTTCTAGAAGCTCAACTTATAAAGGCAAAGTAAAAAACTATAGACTCTCTTCATTTTCGCATTATTTGTTTCTTCCATACATATATTTGCTTGGCCAAAAGCCTCTTTAAGCCACCACACTCCTGCGAGAATCGAAGGACTAGGACAGCCCAACCGCAGCTGGAGAAATAGGTAAACAAGTGTGTGTGCGGCGAAAAACAACTTGTCGGACTCATTCGGCCTGGTCCTGTCAGCATATCCTCGTACCGATGGCGAGTAATTCATTAACATTTAACTTGATTGACACACGAGCCGGCGGACGGCACAGGATCCAGAACCCAGAATCCAGAATCCAGAAACCAGATTCGGGGATTTGAGTGTTTTTTCCTTTCTCTTTTTTTTTTTGTTTCTGTGCGAGGCACGTATTACCGGGGGTGGCACGCACACGATTTGTTTATACAGTTATAATGCATAATGGCATCGGATTTGGGCAGGCCCACACACAAAACACCCAGCAGTGAGGTTGTTACTTTGTTAATTTAATAAGAGGAAAGACGACGACAACAGGTGCTGCAGCCGCCAGTCCCCCAAAAATCCAGCTCCGAAATGAAGTCACGTCGCAGGCATAAATCAATTGCCATGAGCAGGCATTTGTGCCGTTTAAATTGCACGATCGCATAGGTAAGAAGTCCTCGCCGAAGGATGTTCCCCCTAAAGGAGGAGTAGCTCCCCGCCAGCTGGCAGCTCGCAAATTGAGCGCAAGCCATGAAAGTGTAACGAGTCTTAATTCGTTTGCCAAGTGCCGCCGAGCGGCCCACAAATCCTGATAACCATCGGATAAGAAACTCCCTTCGATGGCTAAAATACGTTCGCAGGACTGATGACAAATCAAACACACAGCTGGGACTCCAAAGAGGCAGAAGGGAGCCTAATTTAATGGGGAAGTGCTTACGAAACTGCAAATGAAAAACAAATCATGTGGATACATGATGGATGATGATGGAGTCTGTAGGTTTAATACTACAAATTAAAAAAAGCTGCTTTCCCTAAAGCAAACATTCTCTCTCTATGCTAAATATTGTTTAAATTTAAATTATTGTCGCAGCAAACTGTAAGTAAGCTCTTATAATAAGCATTGGCTACTTTTAAGTTTTCCAAAAATTAAAATCGAGTAGCTTTAAAGGAAAATTAAGTGAAAAGCCTGCTGTCTGGAATTGAAAAGAACAATGGGAACAGAAGCCCGTGAAGGACACCTGGATTGATTATCTCCAGCAGGAATCCTTCCTTCCTCGACACTTCCGCTGCAGTTACAAATTGATGGCAATTACAAATGGAGCGAGCTGAAAGGGAAAAGGTCCCTGAAAACTGGAAACTTTTCTGATGTCCTGCCGAGACCAACGGGTGGTAATTGCGCCACCCACTCTCCACCTCCCAAATGGACAGGTGTCAACCGTGGGGACCCCTTGCCGAGCTCTTTCCTCGTTTCACTTGTTGCTTTATTGGGTTTACATACAATAGAGGGATACTCAAACTACGAGTGGTCCGGTCACCACTGGAAAATGGTCAACATGGCACGCAGCAGCACCGGAATGTCCCAGCCATTCTTGCGAAGAGTCTTCAATGGTTTAACAATTTCGTTCTTGTTCTGAAAGATTTTTGGGTGAGAAACAGAAATAAAATACAGTCAATATAGATAATAAATATGTTTTCTTGATATCAAAAATATGAATTTCTAAATATCCTGTTCAATATTTAAATTATATTGTTTTAATTGTTGCATCTTTGTTTGAAATATCTTGTTTCTGAATATACGCCTTATTTAAATGCTGTAATTATATTTATATTTCGGTGTACTTACAACATTGGCCTTCAGTGTGGACTGGAACTCCTGTGAAACGACCGCCTTTGTGAAGTTTCCGAAATTTGTGAGATTGGCCCGTGATTCAGCCACATAATTGTGGATGGCCTTTTGGGGCATTATGTTCAACAGATCGCCCACGAACGTATGGTGCTTCACAGCCTTGCAGTTGCAATTTCTCACAGGTTTCTTAACTGGCAGGATGATGCAGTAGAAAATATCCGCAACGCTCTCAATATCCGCGGTATCCACATTTTTTGCCTGCAACTCCTTGAGAACCGTGTGGTATGCAGTCGAATCCGTCAATTCCTGAGTGACCCGAGTAAATCCCGTGGTATTATAGAATCGCATGGCACGTCGGAACTTCTTATCACAATTATAATGCACTTCGATCAAGTCCCGCAGTTTTTTCTGATCGATCAGATCGCGAATGTGCTGGAAGTTCGCACACAAATCACTATCATCGTGCTTGTTATTTCCATTATTATTATTGTTATTATTGTTGTTATTATTGTTGTTTGTATTATTTTCGGGAGGACAATCCTCGTAATCCTCGTCGGATTCTTCTGGCTGGGCGATCGTGTGGCAGGTGAAGATGGCCAAAGCTGCGGCTAGCAGAACAAATGTTTTCAAGTCCATCATCATCCAGCTGGCCGAGATTCGATTTGACTGTGGCTGGAACCGCCGGTTCAGCACCCGCTTTTATGGCCAAGAACCAGAATCAATTACATGCATTTCCTCTTTCTCGGACACTTTGCTTATCAGCCGACAATTAGCGGAATTTGTACGGACAACAATAAGCTTATCAGTCACCAGGAACTGTCTAAAAAACATTTCCAGGAATGAGATACTTCAGACTGCAACGCAAAAAATTAAAAACACTGCTCATCATTAAAACTAACAAGCGCCAAGATAAAATACGACAACAGAAAACGTGTGTTTTCATTGGTGTTGCAGTTGTTTTCAACATGTTTTTAAGTTTTAAATATTCGTTTTTTGTCTTCTGTGTGTAAAATATTGTCAGACTTCGAGTAAGTGAATAAAAATGCATTAATAAAGGTTAAGTTCTGGCAATATATGTTGCATAGGTGAATTACAATTCAGTTTTTCATGTCATATATGTAGGGGAGGGTGGTCCCATACCGACCCCCTAAAAGGCAAAGGCGATAAAGGTGAGAAAAATCAATTTTTCAGTTCAGTTCAAAAATTTACTATGTAGAGGGATCAGTTTACTATACATCTAAATGATTAGTAAGTGCGTAGGTGCTTTGAAGCGTTAGATATTCAGGCAAATATAAAACTCTACTTTTTGGTCGTACTCAAAAGTAGTGGTCCGAAACCGACCCCCTATTTCTTAACAGAAAAATTTAATAACATAAAATAGAATTTAATGATTTTGACGTTTATTAAGAAATATATTGAAGGTTCTTTCCAGAAAATAAAAATTAATGTATGAAATAAAGGGCACTGTAGTCAATTGATGAAGTCTGAGTTGTCCTCTTTCTCATAGTAAGTTTTCGCGTTGTTTTCGCGTTGTTTTTCGAGAGCCGCTCGTTGATGACTGTCTCTTCGCTTTCTTCTGATCTTTTTGCTGGTTCTGTTACTTTTCTTTACTGAATCTTGTTTACTTTTTCATATTTTCCCTCAAAAATACTCTATGACATATTCCGCTGCCAATAAATGGGGGTCGGTTTCGGACCATCACCTAGCGGTCGGTTTCGGACCACCACGACCTTTTCTGATTAACTGCTCGGCATTAACTAAAGACGCAAAGAGCGATGTAATTCTAATTATGTGAGTGAAAGCTAGGACTATCAACGATCAGAAAAATTTACTCTCCGATTTTTATGCGGAGAAAAAAAATTTAAGCTCAAGTTCAGTAAAGCTCAAAAATAAATATCACAGGCGTTGAAACAAAACAAACGGAAAAATTGCAGTGAAACAAAATAAGTCAAAGGGGCTATCTATCTCCAAAATGTCTGTGTTATAACAGCTTTTCACTGAAGTTACCGACAATTCGGCTAGCATCGCCATCTCTGAGAAACATGGGGGGGTCGGTATGGTACGACCGGTCGGTATGGGACCACCCTCCCCTAACCAAATCAATTTTATTATCCTATTAATTTTGCCAGCTCAATATTTTCCACAGTGAAAATATAATGAGGTGTTATTAGGGCTTATAAATGCTGAAATTACCTTATAATCTCTACGTTGTGCGCTTCATTAATTGCTAATTATAGTTCCATCCCCCGCTGTTGCAAAGGCCCTGTGACTTATGCACCTGATGCTTCGGTTCTGTGTGCATAAGATTATGTCAAAATAGAGGGGAAAGGGGAATGATGAGCTACAACCTCATTAGTTCAATCTGACAAACGATGGGAAACTGGGGGACACCATCCCCACAAGTTCGTCATTGCAGGGCCAACATTTATCCACAGGAAGAACAACAGAAACCAGAGTGCTCATCACATTTAGTGAGAGATCAAGAGTGAAAGGACTCTACTGTCCAAGGGGTGAGGGTTCTGTGGATTCAACTTGATTCATGGCCTTCTGTTTGCCCAACATTTCACAGAAGACTAAAATTCAGTCCCAGTTCAGGCGAAATTTTACAGCATTTTCGTAGGGTTCAATGGGCTGAATGAATTTTTGCAAATTCAGACTGATATTCATAACAAAAAAATCCTTTGTAATAATATTAATAATCATGTGCTTCGCTGCGCACATTTATCTTTACACAATTGCCATGAGTTTCAGGGCTCTTTTTGGATATCTCTTCCGCTTTCATGACAAACAAATGTAGCAAATATTTGACAGCCAATGGAGCGGAAATAGTTTCATTCTTAGTTTTTTGCGCTTTGTTTTCATGTTTACGCCCTTTTTGTGATACTAGCACTCAATTGCAAATTTAGAAACATGAGAGAAATATAAATGGCCCACAATTTTCCACAAAAAAAATTCAATTTTGCTGCAGTTCAACTTCATTCCAATCACGCTATTTCAGCGATTTATTTCAGTGGATAAAATAGTTGGCGGATCAAATGTTAAATTTAGTTTAGCAATCAGCACCGGTTAAATGAAGCAAATAAACTGCATTCAGGAGGAAAACTTTTAGCGAAAGGTATAGTTTAGAAATATATATAAAGCAATGAAATTCTTGCAGAAAAAATCCGGAAGTTTATCCGGCAGAATAGATTTGTATATTTAACTTTAAACACACTTTTAATCTTCACTATTTAACCGCAATTTATTCGCGGTTTTCTGAGTTTGATCGCTGATGCTGTGCGTTAACATTTAATTAATTTTGGCGGCTAATAAATTGTCATTACCGAAGCAAACCGCAAGCATTGCCGGCCACTTTAAAGCCTGATTTTCACGCGATGACATTTGTCAACCACAAAAACGAGTAAATTTCTATGAGATCTGTACAACAATGCCACAAAGTTGCTCACATAGGGCCAACTATCTTCGTTTCCCCCGATAATTTACTCAATTAGAGCTGAACTTGAAGGCTTTGCGGCATTTGCGAGAATCGCTTTATTGTTGCACTTAAGAGCGCGCCAAATTCAGCTGTGGTGACACAAGCAAACACACCCCACACACACCCACACCCACAGCCACACCCACACCACCACACATGCAGACAGCTAATTTAGTTAGATAATAAAACTAAACTGAGCTGATCATCTTAGTACGGGGAGGGTAAAAGGCTCTGGAGCGAAAGTTGAACGGCTAAGTTACTTCGATAAACAGGCTTAATTAGCGACCAAAGCTGAAAGCCAACAGTCTGCCAACTGGAGCTGGCACTAGGCGCATTATTTCGCAGGACCCCACACACCCAGATACACACTCTCACACATACACATACGCACCCTGAAAAGCATACAAACACACTTATAGCCAGTGGCAGCCCGGCTGAAAACACAATCAAATATAATACTGTGGTCGAAACTAACCTTGCAACAAACCACATGAAATTATGCCAGCAGGAATTAAATTGCGAAATCTGAAACAAAATAAAGCTTCACATGCATATTTGTTTTTATGCAAATACAATTTGGCCAAATGTTTATGACATCTTATTTAATGCTGTTATCCCAAATTGGTTTCGAGGGATTATTAGAAAAAGCTTCCAAATATTTTTTCCACAACGTTTATTCAATTTAAATGTTGCAAGTGCTGAAATGCTAATAAACTTATTGTCAGTACATAATTGATTTAATTTTCCAGTACTTAACTCCATTAAATCCTCAAAAACTCGATTATTCGATTACTACTTTGGTTTATATGATAAATACTGATTTAGTAATCCACTTGCCCCACTGTAAACATACGGATACTGAAGGGCTTCGGCGACTGTCCGACTTAATTATGTGCAAGCAACAATGATATTTATATTATCAGCCAGTCAATGTCAAACGTCAGCACCGCCCACTGACCAGCAGCTGGACTCGTCCTTTTGGCCCGAGAACAGCAAAGCACAGGATTAACATTAAGTCCGAAGACAAAGACGTTGGTTAAGGTACCAGGATATCGTCTGGGCTGAAATGAGTCGAGGTGGGGCTTTTAATAGCTCCACCTCGTTCACCGATATGCCAACCAACCTTTGGCCATAACCCGAAATTATATTCATGCACACATGGCTCCCGAGAGTCACGATTGGGTTTTTGTGGGCTGAGAAGGCGGGGAAGGGAAAACGAATTGGAATGGTGGCCCCGAAAATAAATGCAGATTCATGGCTGCCCAGTCAGCAGACAAATGATGTGCCGGCCGAAATCAGCGAACTCGAAAATTCCAAGAGGCCCCCATCGAATGTCCTTGGCCCCCAAAAAACTTAAAGCGTACAGTTTTCATTCGATTCGTTGCGTTCCATTTTAGCCCCAAACCTGTTGCAGGCAATCCAATTTTTATTTTCGCCCTCGATTTTTTGTTTTATTTTTTTTCGTTGTGTTTCCACAAAGCACTCTCGAATCGCATTGAATTGGGGAGGAAAACAAAAGCTTTGTCTGCCTATTGTTTTGCAGGTAAACAATTAAAAATGGCAAATGGCCCTGCGGGTAGCGGCGAAGGGATCCCAGGACCCCGATGACGGAGGACAACATCCGAATGGGCGAAATAGAAGGTGACACCACAAAACACAATGAACGAGTGTTGGCACCACAAAACAGCAGAAAAAAGGCTCACACTCGTGTGACAGTGACATCTCACAATTTTTCTGACAGCTCACCAAGTACGGGTGAATGGATAGATGGAAAATAGAAAATAAAGTACCGAATTTATCCCAATTAATATCGACAGTTAGTACTCTTCCGAAATCATTTTACAAACAATTTTTATAAAAAATTATCCCTACGCTGTAAAATTCACGAAAAGCAGTAGAACTGAATAAATATATTTAAAATCTAGGCCTGGGAAATGAAAATCTTTTTTTTAAAGCATTTATCAAGCCCTCAGATTGAAATTGTTTTTTCCCCTTGTTAACCTGATATTCAAACTGCCATGCTAATGATATCAGGGTAACGATAGAGCATAGATATGAGCAAAGAAATAAAAAAAAATGTGGAAAAACAAAACCAAGCTAGAGTTTGTCTAGACAAATTGTGTCCTTATGCCTGCCACCCACACACACACACCCACACACACACACAAAGGCGAGATGGAGGTCCTTCGAGCTGCGGGGGCGTACATTTATATGCGTGTCGGGGCTTATCTCTTTAATGGCAGCCATATTTGCTGCGGCTCCTTTCTCATTTCAGGCGAGCTACCTGAAACTCCAAATTGGCAACATGAGTTGGCAACAACATCATCTGTGCGGGGCCAAAAGTAATTTGCAGGCAAATTATGATAAATAGACTTGCCACGAACCTGCGACCGCCGCACCCAACTCAATTTAGCTACAGATACGAGTATTTCCACAAACAGGAACTCCATTTGGTAAATTATATTCCATTATTGTGAAAATCTTAAGGCTCCTGCAGCGCAACACTTCGCATCCATTTCATTTTGAGTCAATGCGGACCTGAAGTAAATTTATGAGCAGACAATTCAATTGCACTTTTGCGGCAAAAATTCAATTAAATTACAGTGAGATGGTTGTTTATGTGCTTAAGCCCTTCTCTGCCATAAACCACTCTGGGGGGAATTTACAGCTTGAGAGAGTTTTTTCGGGGTAATACGTTGAGAAACCCAAGACATTGGCCAGGCAGCTCAATTAAAATGACACTAAATTGCATTCGGATTGCCTTGTCGTGCCCTCGGTCTAGGATATTTCAAGCCCCATTCCAAAGCTATTCTCTTTCCCTCGGCGGGATTGCCTTTTTAAACAATTTACGCTGAAAATAATTGTTAATTTTTTATATAGATACCAAACCTTTTCTCTTAAAAATTTTTAAATATTATATCTAGTGATTAACGGCTCTTTATATTCAAATAAAAATTGTATAAAATATTCTGTACAACTAAAACACTCCCACTTACTCAAATGCATTCTATATTTATTCCTGGTTTTAAACTATGGAAATAAGTTATTTTCAGTGCACTTGCACAAAAGCAACAGCAGCTGTCTATGCATTCGGGATTTGAGCCTGGGACTTAGACGAGCGCACTCCACTCAAACGACTTGCCCGCAGCGCCATCATCTTCAGCCCCAGCAAGTTTCGCTCCCTCTTCCTTCGTCCTGCGTCCTGAACCCTACATCCTGCACCCTTCATCCTGTGCCTTCGTCCTGGGATCCACCGTGTCTGTGCATTCGTCGCTGTGGTATTTTCCATGTCGCTGCATTGCTTTCAGCATCTGGCTGGCGACCAACTTTCAAGTCAACCCGACATCTTGGCATTTAAGGAATCTCAAGGAATAAATTCGCCTTGTCTGTTTGCCTTTAACGCTGCCTGCAGAACCTGCAATTGCCGTCAGCAACTTGCAAATGGTGATATTCTCTTCATTTAATTAATTGACAAAATGACATTCACGCTTTTGTTTTTGACAAATACTTCATACCAAATTGAAACGGAATTTAATATCACAAAAACACATTTCCATGAAACAAAACACATATCCCCCGGAAAAGCACTTTGATTTCGAGTGCTGAAAATTCAATTTTGTTTTATCTTGATTCGCAATTGCTAACAAAATATGCTATAATGCGAATAATGTTGTGGGGAAAATCAATTTGTTGGGAGTGCTGCGACAATTGTGGCTGAATGTTTTGAAATTCTGAGAAAAAATAAAATAAACATAGTTTAAATACGATTTTATAGTTTGCGCTTAGTTGGAATCAGATTCGTCTGTTTAGTTGCAATTTTATTCATGACAGGTAATTATATTTACAGTAGAAAACTAAAATTTGTTTTGAAAGTATGAGTATAATCGTTTAAAATTAAATGTTTTAGTTTGAATTTAATATGCGTGTTTTATCCCTGAACAAAAACGAGTGCTTAAATGCACTCGCACATGATGTATTTGCTGTGCAGGTCAGTGGAAGTTCGGTTGAATCCCTAACAATGCCAACTAGTTGCCACTCACACAGATACTCACACACACAAGCGCACGAACGCCATAAAGTATGCATCAGAAGCGTGAACGTACTGAGGCCCGAAGCCGAGGCGCTTGATAAATATTCAAAATTCGATGGCAACGGATACGGGATGCAGGATGCAGGAACAAAGGGAGCCCCACAAACACCTCACACATGCACACACTCACACACACTCACACACACACACGGACACTCCTTCGTTTGCATAGTTGATTTGTGTGTATGTGCCAGCAATTTATGTGGCATTGAGAACTTTAGTAGATTTGACATTCTAACGCTCGCCGACAAAATGTTCGTACATGTGGATTTGTGAGTGCGGAGAGGGTCGTAAATATGCCAGCCCGTCGTGTAATTCGATTTATATGCATGGTCCATATAAAAATATGGCTCCGACCTGCCCCCGTTCGACATCGGCAATTGATGCCTAACTAACTGCATATGTATGGGCGGAATTAAAAACAAACATAAATCTGCATATATATATATAATATATATGAAATGGGATCAAATTGTCAGCGGAAAGTAAGTTGAGGGCTTTAAAAATATGTGCAAGGGATTACAAAAAAACTACAATAATAGATTTCCAGCCAGGCATTTTAAATAAAACAGAGCAAAGGGGATTTACCTGAAAAAACAACTTAAATTATAAAAATATTTCTTTAAATATGTAAATTAAATGGAAAACGAGAAGATTTGTATACATAACATCGGTATAAATATTTGGGGGTAAAGCAGTTAAATTATAGTTGTCTAAATTTATATTCAAATTGCAATTTATTATTTAAATTCATTTCGTAATTGCTTTTTCTAGACACCTTTTTTTGTTTGGCGTGATAGCTTATTTTATGCATTAAATATCTGCCTTTTACTGGAAGTTTAGGAACACAAAAAATATTCTGCATAAAATAAAATACACTCCTGATCTAAGAATAGTCAAAGGAATCTGTAATTAACTTAGGGTGAAAGGTAGCAATCAAAGTCAGAGAATGCTAATGGATAATTGTACACATGAACCTATTAGTTGGAATGACAGGCACCTGAGTGAAGTGAGCAATTTGTTCGGACTTCAGAGACTTTGGTTAACCACACTGCACACAGGCCAGAATTGTGTGGACAAAGACCCTGCAGGCAGTCCAGAATATATATACATACATATACGATATATATATACATTTGCTCCTTGTGTTGCTGTCTTACCTTGATTACATTGATGCATTTCTACATCATTAAACCGTCTAAACACCATTAGCAAGCAGCCAAGATGTTGAGGTGTGTTGTGCGTGTGTAGGAGTAAGTCAAGGATATATCTGCCCACCCACACAAACACACACTCCGGCGCTCTGCGTGTGTGTGAGCATCGCTTCCGGTTGAGTGCACCCACACAGATACAGATACAGACGAGAGTGGTGCGGAGCCAACTCATTTGCCATTCCCTAATGGTAAATCAATGGGCTGGCTGAACCACAACCTATGTCCTAGAACCCCGATGGCCCAGGAAGTCCAGCTGGCTATATAGGACCCGGATCCGGAGCCACAAACTGAACCATCCAACAGCCGGATGTTTGCTAAACGCGTTGATGACACTTGAATGACTTTCGGTGTCTTTTGTCGCCGCCTTTTTTTTTTGCAGGCATCTTACGCTAAATTGCACATATTATTTATACATAAGAATTCAACTGACCATAAGTTATGTATATTAGCTAATCGTCAAAGTTGTTTTCGGTGCTTTATGAACTTGCCTTGCCAGCCTTGACTTCCCTCCACTTTGCCAACTGACGACCACATTTACCCATTCAATTTAACCTTCCGATGGGAAATCAATTCACAGTTTCCGGAGTTTGGGGGCCATGAAAGATTCTATTATTGGATTCGGTATTTGCTTGGTCAGCTCGGGGCTTTTATTGATTTTATATCAATTAGATTGTCATACGCTTTTAATGTTTACATTCAAGGATGCTATTTTTGGAAGCCAATTCGTGTTAAGTCGATTGTACATTAGATTAACTTTTTAAGTTACTTTTTGTAGTCTTGCAAAGGGTATTATAATTTCAGTCAGAAATTATAATAAAATATATATATATTCTTGATCAGCATAACGATCTGAATCAAGTAGTACATCTCTAATTGTTTTTATTTAAATTCTCTAATTCTTTTTTTGCTGATTTATTTCAATTTGTATGATACAATCCCTTTCCAATTTTTGATTAAAGTTTGTGATGGCTGCAAGGCTAGCTTCCTTTCATGTTTTTCTCCATTTTGGGTTGGAATTAGTAATGCTTAAAATGAGATAAGGAACAATACTAATCATTACATAATCAGAAACTTTTTTATAAGCTTGAAAGGCAATTTAAGAAATGTTTGTAATGCTTCCTTTTAATTATAAGAAAAGTTCCATTAACGATTTTTGTGCCGAAACCTTTCTCCGTCTGAATCGCACGTTCATCCTAGACCCCCTAAGTGCCGCACAAGGGTTAATAAAAATACCAGGTCACGCTTCTGGGGCGAACTCAATGGTAAAGCATTAGGTGCCGGCGAAGCCAATACAATTGTAACCCTTGGCATTGTTATGAGGGCATTAAATTCCAATTACACGTTAAGTTGCCGCGTTAATGGCCAAGTTAATGCACTTGCATCGCCGTTAGCCCGATGATTCGCCACTGGGGGCGTAGCGACCCCCCAAATGACAAAGCACCCTGAATACATTATTACATTTATATTTATTATATGCATGCTGTATAAAATGCTTTGTACATGAGTTGGTGTTTCGGCTCCAATGTTTTCTGAGTGAGTGTATTGTGAGTGTTGTTCCCTGTGTTTGTGTTTGCGTTTGTGTGTGTGTATTAATCTTATGGTTGGTAAGTCAAATGGGCTTAGACCGAATGAAATATATAAAGTCATAATATGCACGCGGCAATTGCTGTATACACTTAGGATCTAGAATTAATATTACGGCGAAGCGGTTAATCCCAGCGCCTTGTCAGTGGATCGAGAGGATCTTGGGTGGATCTAGCCTAATCAGTGTATTAATACATAGCTTCAAGCCAAGCTTGCTGTTTGCTTTTGTGGCGGCTGATTTTGGTCTTTGCGTATCTAGAGTTGGGTTCGGTTCATTGCTTAAACGATGCTGGTTGGCCCTTAAAGCCTTATTCGAACTGCAGTCTGGTTCTGTTGACATCACATTGGTTCACATCGATCCTAGGGATCGCATAGATCTTAGTAGCAGCACCAGCTGGGCCTCTCCACCTCGCCGAGGGCAATGTGCTCGATGCTCCACGGCGCCGTTTCCAGCCGTCCCACGCCATTCGTCTTCACATCCTCTCCCTCCACCGCCAATCCAATATCCACATAGGGCAGTCGGAAGGCGGCATTTCCCGGGCTTCTGGCCAAGGCGGCCACCGTGTGACTGAAGGCAGTGTTGGTGTTGGTGTAGGCCAGCGAGTCGCTCGATTCGAAGGAGCGCAGCGAAGGGCTCTTGCCCTCGTCCGCCAGTCGAACCAATCCCTGAGCCGTGGATATGAAAACCTGCTCGAGTCCCTGATCCGTTTCCGTGGAGGTTTCAAAGTAGGTGGCCCCAATGGAGGTGGCAAAGACGAAAGCCTCTTCGCGGGAAACCGCTCGCTGAGCCTGCATATCCATCTTGTTCCCCACCAGCGTCAGTATCATCGGATCCTGGACATTGCGGTGCAGCTCCTGGATCCAAGACTTTATCTCCGTGAAGGTTTTGTACTGCGTCAGGTCAAAGACCAGAATGGCAGCGTTGGCATTCCTGTAATACATGGGCGCCACCGCCCGATACCGCTCCTGGCCAGCTGTGTCCCAAATCTGGAGAAAGAGAGAAAGTGACCACTGGTTAGAGTTCGTTTGCCACTTGAACTTTAATTGAGCCATTCAGAGCTTATTCTGCAATTGTGCTCTTTATGGCCGCGCTTTCCCACAGCAATAACAATCATATTGGATGTGGAATCCGTACTTCAGGTCTTTGCGAGGGGACTCCTCTTTATGCGATTCATAAAAATTTTGGGGCAACGACATGTTCATGGGCGAATCCAAATCGAAGCACACGAAACCGCACAAAAGAAACAAAGGGCCCCAAATACGAAACTAACAAGCGGAATCGGCAAACTATATCCTATTATGTATTCATACTTATTGTGCTCAGACGGGTGCTTCTGCTGGTCTAGCGAAGCTCATATTTATCACACTAGGGGAAAAACAAAACTGCCCTGCATTTAAAGTAAACAATATTTGAAAAATGTGTTGACAAAATTGCTGATTTAAAAGTACTCAACGGTACAGACAACAGAATTTATATGACAAACACTAAACACTTTGAAAAACTTCTTTAACTTTTAAACATTATTTCAGGGTAAATAATAGTTCGATGTTGTAAAAATGAGCCTGCGTAGTTATTGCAGTGGCCAATGTTATATGGCAGCGTATAAAATCGGAATCACCGAAGAGTAAATATGGCAGCCAGGGCCAAATGGGTGGTAACCCTTTAGCAACGGGGAAGCTGCTGCCGCTCGCGTTTAGCTTATCAATAAACTATAAAAAAGAAAGCGAGCAAAAAAAGGCGAATAATTCACAAAGTGCAGTGGACGCAGAAATTGCAAAATAAAAAAACAAATAAAGTGACCGAAACAGTGGGGCGGAGACGGACAAAAACAGGACCCGTGGCAGCGGAGCCAGTGGCAAAATAAACCCAGATTAGCGTTCCGGCAGCCCAGCCGGCAAATAGGATTAGTGGGCGTGGGGCAGTGGCAAATGCCTTTGGCTTTGCTTTTGGCTTCGGCTTTTTTACGAGGCAATTCCATTTGCGTTTGTCTCCCCCCAAAAGAGTTGGGTGCACTGATACATATGTTGGCTGGTAGATACGCACTTGCAATTTAATTTTGACCTCGTCCAGGATGATGTTGCACGTGAAGAAGGACACGGCTATCGTTGGAACCTCGCTCTCGCTCCTGTGCAGAGTGTTTTTTATGTACCTGATGACCAAACGCGTTTTGCCCACACCTAAAATTAAAAAAAAAATATTAATAAACTATTGTATACACCACATTAAAATGTAATAAAATGTTGTATAATAAGGTTTTTTTCGTTTTTTTGTTTGTAGAGAAAAAAAATAATCTGTAATATATAATACTTTTCTTTCATTTAAAATATCCAATCAATCGTACACAATACATAAATATTTGTCGGTGTACCAGTAAGCCCTATTTTGTTTAAACACCCGACAGCTTATCAGCTTGAATTCAGTGAACGCGCTATGGCGCACGCATTAATTGACCACTGATTAATCATGGCAGAAAAAATAAAATAAACAAAAACTGGAGACGCACTACCCTGCAAAAGGTGGTAAACACTGATAAGAAAATCGCGTACCAACCACGAGAACCTTTGTTTCCAATATACTTTGCGGTTCAGGAAAGCCCCTATTTCTTGATCAGCCATTGAATCTGACTATATATTTTCAGTCAATGCTCTGAATCACCCGATGATCACGGGACGAACATATAAATATCCAAGAAAAAGTACCGCATTTTTATCAATGCATGCCTTTGTTTGGAAAATATAAAGCACATACACGCATTCAGTTTAAATGTTTTTAGTATATACATATGCATATATGAAGGTGTCTAAGTAAACTTTACTTGCCCTTGTAGGAAACTTAAATATTATCATTGCATATTCTACAGCCGATTACACTGAACAAAAGTTATATATTTTTCGGATTTAAAATATCTTGATGCATTTATTTCTGTTTAATATAGCTAAAAATATTTTTACGTTAGAACCTCACAGGCAGCATCAAGTATAAATGTTAAAAGATTTCATAAGTCACGAAATCCCCGCGCAGATAAGCCGTAACAATACCAGACAGTCTGACTTTTCAGCCTTTCTTCTGCATCAACCCAATTACAGATTGCAGATTCCGGATTCCCAATTGGGGGCAGTGCAGTTCAAGGCTGTGGCTTATCGACTCACCCGGAGTGTTATTCTTATCACTGGTTAATTGCAGGAATTACTTGCATTATACGGATCATCGCGGCTTGTGAATGGAAGCCAAAACGGCTGTGATATGAGTAACTTAAAGTTTATTCTTACCTCGCGAGCCTAGAACAACGACTTTGCCCTCAATTCCGCGCATCTTCGCCGAGATTAGCGAGTTAATCGCATTGCATTCGTTGGGTTAAGTGGCTTTTTCAGTAAATAGATGATGTGTTATTGGCCCAGTTGTTGTTGTTTTTAGGAAGGCCACTGACTGAAAAGCGGGAAATTAAGCTTTCTACGGCCTGTGTCGCACAGTCTCTTGGTCACAACTGAATTTATCGCACTCGGTGGGGATTTTGGAGTCGGGCGCTACGATTAAACGCTCGCTGGCAGCAGCCAAGATAAAAGATTTAATAATTTTTAAGACTTGTTGTTATTGTGCGTTGTTATACACGCTCAGCTGTTCACCAGGGCCGAACTTATTAACGATAGTTTCTGAACCGATAGTATAATCAGTGGTTGTTTACAAAAACAATCGTATGTCGCACAGTCTGTGCGACAACACTGGAGTACAACATAATAAGTTTAAGTGAAACCATTTTGTGTTCAAGGTATTTGGTTATGAATTTTTTTTTAAACTATAGATTAATAAAAAACAACTTAAGACTACAATAAAGGTTATTATGGTTTCAAGTTATAATATCAGCGGTCATGGCTGAGGACAAGCCGATACAATAACTATCGCCCATCCCTAATGGAATTTCCGCGACGCGTTAGCACCACCGCCAAAAGCAGGCAGATGTGCACGCAGATAGCGATTTTAACAACAGTGTTTTAAACCCAAATTAACTAATTAAACGCGTTTTAAAAGATAAAGTTATAATGAACTAGGTCCGCCAAGGTCGCGCGCACAAGTACAGATTCTAAAGAGACTCGGAGCGTGCGATTGGATAGCATTAAATGCCTGCAAAACTTCGAGTTCTACGCGCGTTTTTCGCTTGGGCGGCTTAGTTTCCCCCGACCAGGGAAAAGTGCCACATTTCCAAAAGGTAAATGCACTTTCATCAAGATTGATGCGTCGAGATAAGAAAATCGTCGGTGGCCGTCCCGTATGAACTTTCGCTTTCGTTCTTCCAGGCATTTTCAGTGTTTATAGAGCTCCAAAAAAGTGGAGCAAGCCTGTACAAAATGCCGCGTGCCTAAAATAACTAGGGGGTATAACTACAACAAAAAATCTATTTTTATTCAAAGAATGGCCACCAGCAACTCTATTAGAAATAAAATAAACAACAGCTACGAATCGGAGCCTTCTTCCGGAAGCGGGGTAAGAATAATGACCATACTTTCAATGCAATAGTTATTAAAATTTGCTATTTATAGTCTTCGCTTAGTGAAAACAATGAGGGCCATATATCTGACGAGGAGCACATGAATTTGCCGTATCTGATGAAACCAAAACCACTTAGCAACCAACCCGTCGACAACCATCCACCTGGAGAAACCTCGACGCCACCCAACCAGAAATCAAGTAGCCAAGAATCCGTATTCCTGGGCTTCGGGGACAGTCCATATGGCCAGGTTAATAAGCGTCTCTATGGCTCCCAGCTACAAAACCTAAAGCTGCCTGAGGTGGAACTGCCTACCGACCGTCGCCCCTCTCCGGGCAAAATTGTTTTTCCACGGTTCTACGACACCCTCATCGAGGAGAACAGCTGCAACGCCGTGGACATGGCCGTGTCAGTGGCCATAACATCAACCACGACTACGGGCAGTCTCTCCTTTGATGGTAAAATCAAAAGTCTAACTGCGATACCTGAGGATCAGGAGAAGCCCGGACCCTCCAATGCCAATCCCAGACTCTCTTCCGTGCTGGAAACCTCGCTAAACACCTCGCAGCAGAAGTTTAACAACGAACGCTCGCCCGATCTCTTTGCCGACAGCGACGATGAAGCAGAAAACAATGATCAGGTGGAAAAGGAGCCGCCCACACGGATCGAGGATCTTCCCGAAGTGCTGGAGGAGTCGCAGTGTATAAGTGATGTGCGCCCCCGCAGTTCACTTAATGCACCCACAGAGTCGAGCTTCGTGGATGAACAGACAATGGACCTCTCGACCACCCAGCTCAACGCTAACGATCCTCGATCGCATTTCTTGGAGAATTGCCGGCGAGAGCGGGAACTTTATCGGCGGATACGTCGCTGTCTTCAGGGCGTGCGTCCGCCGCCCACAGTGACCACACCCGATCTGGATGTTATTAAAATGGTGCTTAGCATGAAGACGAACGTACTCACCTTCCTCTCTAAGGATGCCCCAACTCCAACGCCCACAATTGAGGACAGTGGCATAAGTGAAACAACCTCGTTGTTTCGACCGACGCACAGTCTTTCTGAAGCTCAAAACATGGGCTGGCGAGATGTGCTTGGTGTGAGACATCATGGACTAAGGTAAGGACTTGTAACTTTGGATAAAAAAGATAATATTTTGATAAACCATTCGCCTTTACAGCTACAATCTAAACAAGGCTGCCGAACAAAACGAATACCTCAGCTTGTCCGTGGTGGATCGATATGTGGGTGTTGAAACGGCCACATCCTATGTGAGATCGCCATCGAGTGCCAAGAAGCGAAACATGCGGATGAAGTGAGTTTTACAACCACTTACCATGGAATCGAATTACTTATAAAACTATTATTTTTACAGAATGTTAACCCAATCGCCTGGAAACCGCCTAAGTCACTTGGCCAAGCGCCGTGCCATATTTTCCTCGGCGAGTTTGGCCACCAACTCTCAGAAACTTAACAGCTCAATTGGACCTCAACTTATGCTAGATAAGAAGTGGGTACATTTAATGAATGAACTAATACAACAAGCTAACTATTAATTTGATTCGCAGAAAAGCGCGAAATAAACGCAAGGCCACGCCCAAACGAAAGACGCCGGGTAGCAAGAAAAAAGGTAAGTGGTCAGATAAGATAAGTCATTGGATTTCAAAATGTAATTATATTTATTTACTAGCCCGCAAGACGCCATCCTCATCCGCCCGCAAGCTTCTCTACCGCACCGATCTCATTAAACCAGGACCTTCGAGAGAAACCTCCAAGCGTGCCTTATTCCAAAGCCCAGCCAAGACCCTTCAACAGCTAATACCGCCCAGGCCGCTCTTCAAGCCGGAGATTGCTAACCGCGTGGAGCGTTCGAAGCGGGCACTCTTTTCGCCGGACCACCAGGGTGGCGGTAATCAACTTGAGTCGCTTTTAAAGCGAAAACGGAACGCCTGCGATGACGAAGACTCTGCTGATCTGGCTAGCCAGACCAGCAAACTGTTCAGGGCCGAGAGCAGTGGGCCGAGTGGCTTGACACCTCGAGCTCTGAAGATCAAGAGTCAGAGCTTCTGCATTGGAGCTGGTTCCTCCACGGCAGGCTTGCAGCAAAAGTTGGCACAGCACGCAGCTACTCCTGCTGGTCAAGCGCGACTTAGTCATGGGCTGAGCGGCAGCAGTAGCAACCTGGTGAACTCCTCCTCCTTTGCAAGCGGCACGCCTCTGGCGAGCAAACTGCAGCGAGCGCACTCGGAGATGAGCGCCACTCCCAATAGCAGTATGACGGATAATCAGCGAAAGGTAAAAGTCTTATTTTGCAATCAATACCAAACTATCTTATACCTAGTTGATAAATCCACCCCTAAAATTTCAAAAGTCATAATTTACTAATTTTATTATTACAGAAACTGCTTTGGGCTGTGTCACAGGCACTGCAGGAGCGAAAGATCACAGCGAAGCACGAGCACTTCCGTCAACATGCGGCAGACCTAACGCGCATTGTGAAGCGCATCTTCCAGGAATTCTACCTGGGACACTCATCGAGCAACAGCGAAACTCTGCTGAGGTGAGCTCGGGGTTGGGATAAACCTGGTTTTTGCTTTATTTTAACGCTTATTTATCCACAGGCTGGCCAAGAAGTTCGCCTTCAGTGTGATTGCGGGCAAGAATGCGGATGACATTTACCTGCAGGCGCGAAGTCAGGAGAGTGAGGCTAAGCGTCTGTCGAGCACCCGCCTTTCGGGCTACATTGGCCCCGAGGAGTTTGCCCAGCGAAAGCTGCTTCTTTCGCAAACATCAGCAGCCGGTTCGGCGCGTTCTTTGCACAACATCTTCGGCAGCGAGAACTCGATAGATTCATTCGGACTCAGTCAAATGAGCTTGCCGACGAACACCTTCTCGGACACGCAATCCAGCATTGTGGACCGCATCTCGGAGGATCTCTTCTGCAAGGAACGGCAACCCATTCGACCCAATCCCACGCTGCAGAACAGCTCGTCCAAGAGCAACCTGGGCGGTCTGGCGCTGCGAGAGAACATGGACTGCGAGACGCGTCGATCGGCGCAGAAGAACTTCACTGGCAAGGATCAGCAGAACATCAGTCCCTACTTTGGAGGCGGAGGAAGCAACGGCTCGGCCCGAAAGTTCCAAATGCCACCCATGGGAAACAGCAACAACTCTGGAGGCAAGGCCAAGCGTCAGATTTCCTTTGACTGCTAAATCAGCAAATTGAAAAAGGACAATTGTTTAAAGAAATAACGCTTACAGTGGCAATTCTTCAGCATGTTCCCCATGTTCTTTGCCAAAGTAAGCTTAACATTTTTTCCGTTTATTGTTTCAATTATTTTTTTGGTTGTTTTAGCTTAATTTATTTAACTGCCAGGTCTCCTATAAAACAAAAGTACTTTTCTTATAATGGCAGACAACCGTAAAAATAGGTATATATAAAGTACATCTTGTATAGATCTTATAGATCGCCTTCCCCTAGACTCACCCAAGACTTTACCTTGAACTCAAATTTAGTTAAATTTCAACTAAGATCTTTTTAAAAATACCGGCATATACGATCTATATGGGATATATTTTATGCGACTCGAGTTTGATGAATGCAATATTTTCCACTGAAGTTTAGATGTATTAAGAACAAATTGTGCTTAAAAATTACAAATTTTAACTAACTAAACCGCGTGTGTACTCAATGCAACTGAAATTAAGCTGAAATCAAGTTCTGTAAGAGTGTAAACTGAAATTAGAATAATAAAAGCGCCCACAATCAATAATAACCGCTGCGATGTATGTATCTTCTCACCAATCCAAATGAGACAATGTGAAATATGACAGCCACTACCATTAGACAAATACAATCGAGCCAATATGTATACTCGGCAGTGCGGAACGATCCTTGTTCAAGAACCTCCAGACCGGTCTTGATGCAAGGATGATCCTCGTTGACGGGACAGTCTAATAAAGATTATTTTCATTATTTAATTTTCTTTATTGGAATCATAAGTAGCTCACCAATGTTGTCAATGTCAATCCAGAACTTGTACATCAGTGCCTCGTTGGAGTAGAAGAACAGGGAAAAATATTTCAACCCAGGCACTGTATCCACATTCATGTACGTTCCACCGAAAATCAGGAAGATCAAATCAAAAGGCGCTGCGCATTCGGAGGCCATCTTGTCCGACTCGAAAAGGCTGGAGAGGAAGACGCCATAGCCAACGGCTGCCACCGCGGACAAACTCATCAGAAAGCCCATGCTCAGGTACAGAAGAAAGCCACGAGTGTAGTAAATGGAGGCGTAGATCACCGACAGGAAGACGTATCCCTTGAAGAAGGCCACTGGCACGAAGGAGAGCACCAGGGCCACGTAATATGCGGACAAGCTGTAGGTGCCCTCACCAACTTCTCTTCTGATGATGGGCAATGCAGCGGGGAATATATAGGTCACTCCATAACTAAAAGTGAAGATCATCTGTTTGAAGATATCTTAAATTATTTTTCAATCCTTAAAATGATTTTTTAAAGGCTTATACCTCGTTGCTCAGCATGAAGATGGAGCCTCCTACATCCTGTACTGTTCGCTGGGTAAGTCCTCCAATTCCGGAATACATAAGTGATAACGTTACAGCGGTGATCTATTGATAAGGATTATCAACTAGCCTTTCTTTGAGAAGAATAGTAACTTACCATAAAGAATCCGAAGGCTATGAGACCACTCTTAATATTCCGCACATCTTCCGTCATGAAGCGCACCATTAATAGATAAACCTGATACATCCAACGTATTTTCTTGCTGAAATGGGATTTTGATTACTGTTTATATAAAATACATTTATGCATATCACTTACAAATTTTGCACGTGTTTAAGGTAATCTCCACTGTAACTGCGGGCTAGCAACCAACTGCCGCTATAGAGTCCATCCGTCTCGTGTTCGTACTTTGCTCGAAGGACAGCAGCAGGATCCTCCTTTCCCTCCTTATCCGCCAGGGTCTTAAGATAAAAATCCGCAGGATTGCAATTGAGAGGGAGCTCGTAACCCAAGCTGGTAATATTAAAAATAACCGCATTAATTACAAATATTTAAAAGATCAGACCAACTCACTCTGTAAAAAATTTGGCAGCCTGTTCGGTTCGTCCCTGGAAAACTATCCTACCACCATCCATCAGGATGATGTGTGTGAAGAGCTCGAAGATGTCCGATGTGGGCTGGTGGATGGAGCAGATGGCCGCCTTTTTGTGGGTTCCATTCGGACTGTTGCTCAAGACTCCCAAAGTTGGCAGTTCCCGCATGGATCGCAACAGGCTTTCGTGAGATTCGTCCATCACTTCCATTTCGATGGACTTACTGCCACTGCCACTGGCACTGCTCTCTCCACTCGGCGTTTCAAAGGAATCCTCTCCGTAAACCTGAGTCAAGGAATGCTTGGCAATGCGTCGCCTCGTGCACAAGTGCCTCAATGTTTTGATCACCGAGTAGGCACTAAAGCTGTCCAATCCCGTGGTGGGTTCATCGCAGAACAGGAATATGGGATCTGTGATCAGTTCCTCTGCTAAACTCAGTCGCTTTCTTTCTCCGCCCGACAATTGCTGGATGCGGGTGTGGGCTGAATCTCTCAATCCGACGGCCAGAAGTAGATCCGCCACCCTTTGTCGCTTTTCTGACTTGGTAGTGCGTCTGTGCATTTTGAAATGGGACTGGGAATACAGGAAAAAATGGGAAAATAATTAATAAATAATATTTTATATCTTGGAAACCCTTTTCTTTTTTATTTTATTTCACATTTAATACTATTACTTTTTTAGATAAAGATAAAAATTTTCTTATTAATAATAAAGGACCCACCATAAAGTAAAGATGCTCGTAGGCCGTAAAAGTCTTCACGTTGATCTCGAACTGCGGCAGAAAGCTGGAGATGCGCGTCATTTGATTCCGTTCCATGGCCATGCCGTTCAAAACCACATCGCCGGTCAGGTTACCTCTCAGCCGTTGCGAAATCGCCGCGAGCAACGTGGTCTTGCCCGCGCCGGATCCGCCCAAGATGGCGATGAGGTCGCCGGTCTTCATGTGCCCGCTGGCTGCAAACCGAAAAACCGATGCAAGCGAAACCGCAAGTCAGTCCCATTCCCAGATCCACATCCGAACTCCGGAGCATTGACTCACCGTCTTGGAGGATCCGCAGCTCCCGCTTCTTGCGGCACTCGTTCCAAAAGCTGTAGTTGCTCTGCTCCTGGGCGGGCACATAGTAATTGAGCTGCTTCCACTCGAGGCACAACGATGGACCCTGGCCCTGACCCGACGAACTGCCGGACTCCATTGGACGAACTGGAGGTTCAGTAACCCCGCCGGAACTCCTACAATTCTGGCTATTTGATCTACCGACTTATCGCGATTATCCCAATGGGGCTTATCTTATCTGAGGGTCCGCCGACTACAATGTATTTGCATATCTGCTCGGGATCTTTGGCGGCGGAGAAACCTTAAATCTGTCCGACGGAATCGCGGTCAGAGGCAGAGTCGACTGTTCGCGTTGAAGTCTGAGCGGCAACTGGGCAACGTCGATGCCGGCGACATGGTTTTCTACCCCCAACAGATCCACCATCACCCACCCAACAGCCCCTCCAGTCTGTTGGCTGCCCTCCCCCTCCTAGTAACATTAAACTTTTGACCGCATTTGGGTTGCCAGCTAATTGTCGCTTATCAATTCACATAGTCGAACGGCGGCAGTTCAGCGGTGTCGGCCAAAGAGAGGCGCTCATTGAGGTGGTGCAGTCGGTTTTTGAGGCGGCTCGCCTCCGCTTTGTGGTCGTCTTCTCTTCGCCAGAGGCGCCTCAAGCGGCCCACGACTCTGCGGATGAGGGCATAGACGTCCAGCAGCAAGTTGTAGATGATCACATGGCCCATCTGCACCAGGCCCATCACACTGACGCCCACAAAGAGAGCAAGGACACCTCCAAAGGATACTGGAAAGGGTAATAAATTAAATAATTATTATATATATTTATGCGTTATGGTAAACTATTAAATTGTTGTGAACTCACCCACTAAATCCTCGAAACTGTAGACCACATCGCGGCGCATTCGAACCTTCGGAGGAATCAAATCCCATCGGAAACTGGAGGTGGCTGTCTCGCTGCTGGCAACCTCCTCATTGTTTTTGACTCCCCAGGAACTCTTCTTCACCGTCTGCATGGTGTACTCGATCTCCGTGCAAGTGGAAGGACACTTACAGATGTGCAATGCCCAGATGGGCCACTTGAAGTCCAGCAGGCACTCGAATCCGGCGGGATTGCAACTGGGACCCTCGACATACGGGTAGAAAAAGGGCACGCAGTTGCACATTTCCAGAGCCATCACGGCACGGCATCGAGCCAGGCAGAGGGATTTACTGTAGATCTGGTTGTTATAATAAAGGGGTAACAATTTTATATGAATTATAATAAATTTAAGTAAGTCACTAAACATCTGTGTACATTACACATTACATTTTATAAGCATGAGTCACTTTAAAACTATTATTAAACCTTTTACTATTACTATAAAAAAGAATATCTTGTTATATCTTTTTCATTTAAAAATCTTTTGTTTATCTCAATAAAAAAAATTAGTATAAAAACACGTGCTTAGATATCATTATTTTGTTTTCTTGGAAGTCTGGATGCAGGGCAGGTACTTTAGAAGATTTGAGTTTCTTGCACCTATTCGCCTTATCAGAAGCTGCTATTTTATTTGACTTGGGAAATTTGTTTATTTGCCGAACCGGAACGCAGGGCATCGCTCCAATACCAGAGCATCTATTTTTTTTTTTTTTTGAGATAAGGTGCATATTGAGATACCTTCAGGTTGGAAGTCTCCTCGTTGTTAAACACACACTTGCGCTGCGCCACACTCAGTTGGTGTAAGTTTTTCGATGCCCTGGAGATAGTGGAGCATATAAACAAATGTCTTTATGGTCGGGAAACTGTCTGGATGGGAAGTCTGGTCCACTTACACGGTTTCGAGCACCTTGAACGAGGCTGTTATCTCGTCCGATTTGTGCAGGGCCACAATGTTCGCCTCTGTGGCCGAAACCTCAAATGGCGAGTGGACGTCCAGCTGCAAGGTTGATTTCATTTATTATTTAACCCGCATCCGTTCTTTGTATCAATTTGATACAAACTTTAACTTAAGATTCAGACTTAGGCGAAATGGATTCTTATATGGATTTGTGCTTTTGGCTCAAGTTTTGTCTTTAAAAAGAGCAATAAAAAAAACCACTGTCAGAAGTTTATGACTTCAAACAAACGCGCTACAAAATAGGTAACACAATGGTTCTATGTATCAAATTGATACAGTGTATATATTGTATATATACATATATATTGTATATATTGGATATTTCGGTATTCAATGCATTTGTATTACTCACTGAGCTCAATCCCGAATGGAAAAACAAGGAAAAAAAATATCGCCGCCGTCTTTTTATCATTGAAGTTGCTGACGAGCTGGTTCGGCCCTACATTCATGCTCGCAAATCAATGCCACGATCAGAGAATGCACTGACCATTTTTATAAAATTTGTGACAATGCACTTAATTTTTTCAAAATTCATGAAAAGCATTTTTTGTTCAAAATAAACAAACGTTCATAATAAATATAAAAAATTGGTTTCTTTTTTAATTTTACTAACTAATTTTAGCATGTTTTTAAACCTGTATCAAATTGATACATAGGAGCTAATATGTTACAGATTTTAAGGGACGGATGCGGGTTAAGACTCTTCAATGGTGGTCATTGTGCATCAACCCACCACGCCAGTGCTCTCATACAGATCCATTCGGATGTAGCACTGCTGTTTTCCATACTGACAGGACAAAGGCTGCGGCATCAGATCGTAGGCAACGGGTCTTCAAAGGGATAAAGTTAATTGGATAAGTATTTTCAAGATACCCATACTCACTGTCCACTCAGAACCGTTGACATGGGCGAATTGATGGCATAGCAGGCTCCCCGTTCCGTCATTACCCTTTGAACATGGATCTGAAAGTCCGGATCAAAGCTGCTGATTACCTGCTCGAAGGGTCTGTCCACCCGTTGGATCATCTCGTACAAGTCAATCTGGTCGAAACGCTCATCCTCTGCAAACTTGGCCAATTCTGCGTAGTTACCCGCAGTGGCATTCACCACCGCGTAGAGGAAGTCCATGAAGTAAAAGTAGTCCTCATCGATGATGGACACATTCCACACTTCCTGGATATACTCGTTTGCCTTGAAGGAGTCGATGTGGTCGTAGTAGCACAAAGTGACTGCTGGCAAGGATCCATTCCAACCGCGATAATCCCGATCCACGGAGATGACAGTTGGTGAACTAAAGTATCGCTCCAGCTGAAGCCGACTGAGAACCAAGGCGGCAATTACACTACTAATGACTATCGCCAGCCAAAAAATCCGTTCCAAAAAGTGAATACTCCGGTTGACGCACAAACTCAGGGCCAGGAGACCCGTTTCAGCTCCTGCCTGGGCCACCACATCCCGCAACCGACCGAAGTAAACACACAAGCCAGCCAAGGAAACTCGGAGGACAGCCAGCAATCCTCGAAGGATCTTCCCAGAGATTCCTTTTAGCCAAAGCCACACTCGTTGGTTGGACATTTTTTACCGAATGGAAAGCCGAGCTGTTTTGCCCCTTTTATTTATTCAAACCTAAAATGTAATAGTCCCCCACTAGTTTATCTTATTCTTTTTATTAATCGCGAGTATGTCCATTTGATTCAAACGTAAACCCAACTGGATCTGTTGAGGGCAACACCCATTAGCGATTTATTGCCCAGACCGATTTGAATGAGGAATATGACAATGGCCATCAGAACTCCGATAAACTGTCGTTGGACAAAGGCGAAACAATAAATCTTGCAACAAAGGGGTTAATTGGATGACCGCCAGCCACTCACCCCTCCCAGTGAAAGTGTGTCCAGTGTCACGATTCCACAGGCTGCCAGGGGTTGACCTAAACTCGTCTGGAGTTGCAACAAAAAGCGATTAATGGTGCTTTCCAGGTGGGAACTACACACCTCCAATTCATTGAGCAACTGAAAGAGGTTACATTGCTAAGGCAAATGGTTAGAGTATTAATTAAGATTTAAAATATAAATACATATTACCTGCTCCAAGATCTGTTCGTTGACTGCTAGAATAAACCATATTCTTCCTCCATGTTGGACCAACCAAAGCAACCTATACATTAGCAATATAGACTCTTGCCATTGAGGATTGTCGAAAAAGTTAAAAACTAAGTAGAGCTCCACACAAACACTGATCAAAGAATTCAAAAAATTTAACACCAAAAAAATTCCAAATTTGGATAGCAACTCCTTGTGGATCATTTCGATTAAGTTGCAATTTGATCGCATTTCTTCAATCAATTTACTGGAACCACCTCCAGCATCCACTAAAAAAGCAAAAGCGGACTCATATCGAGCATCCAATTTGGTTATTTCCTGAGTTGGTCTCTGACGCAACTTTAGCTCCTCCAATTTAATCCTCATCTGGTCCAATAGAAGATAAAGCTTGTGCACAGAAAGAGCGTATTGGAGAATTCCAAGACTCAGCATTAAAGCTGGCAGATTATAGACACTATTACTTATAAAAGTGGTCCAGAAATCAAAGCTATAGTATAAAATATCCATTAAGGCACATAAACTGTGGAAAGCTATGGTAATCGACGTTATACTGAGAGTTCTCCGACCTTGTCTCTTGTAAATATCCCGAATAGCTTTGGCATCATGTCCGGAGATCAAACGTTGCACCTGAAACTCCATATTCTGGTAACAGGGACGATTTACAACAGCATGATAAACCAGAAAGGCAACACATGCCATGTTTCCCGGGATTTCCATTTGGTAGAGCACTTTTTCGATGGTGGGCATCTCTCCTCTAAAATCCACGCACTTGTAAATGCTTCCAATCCAAACGTAAATCATCAAAAAGATGCACCAAAGAGAGTGGATCCATCGAAGGACTCCTGATCTTCCACTTGCAGATACACCGAGAAATCTGTTTATGGTCAGAAAAAGATTCTCCCAAAACGAACTGTTCATCGTGAGGTGGTTTTAATTAATGAAGGTAAGTAGTTCAAGGGGTTTGCGCTAAATTAATTTGATTAATGAGTTGTCTGATGGGATTGACAGGCTCAAACATTTGTTAGAAATTATAAATCCTCAGTAGTCATCATGTGGCGCTCTAAGAAACTACCAACTAAAAGGCTAAAGCTTAAAGGTTTTCCAAAGGAAGGGTAAGCTTTGATTTTATCAAGATATTTGAATAAGTTAACTTTATCTGACTTTGCAGACTATCTAATTACCATCAACAATATGCGGAAAAATTTAATCAACTTCATAAGGCCCTGCATTGGTTACTTATCATCTCTATTTTGGCTAATATAGCCCCTATAACGAGCTTACCAATATGTCCTAATAGATTTTACAAATTAATCCACCTATGTTGGATTTTTGTTTGGTATGCATGTTTTGCCTGTGGTTCCTACTGGGAATTCGTAATCGTCACTTTAGAAAAGGTTTCCCTGGATCGCTATCTAAACGCCATTGAATCATGCATTTATGTGGTCCATATCTTCGTCATTATGCTCCTTGCTTGGCAATGGAGGAAATGCGTTCCAAAAGTCATAAAGGATATTGTGAAATGGGATTTGGAGAGCGGTTACAGCATCGATTGCAAGAGGACGAAGAGGTTTATTAGGAATCAGCTATATCTGGTCTGGATTTTCACATGCCTGGCCTTCTTCTTTGATATGTGGAGCCACAAATGTGAGATCCTCAAATCGGTCCTGAGTATTAATAGCTATGTGATGCCGAACATCATAAGCTGCTTATCATTTGTCCAGTACTATCTGGTACTTCAAGGAATCGCTTGGCGTCAGAGGAAAGTAACCGAAAACCTGGAGCGGGAATTGTTCCATATAATTCGCCCTCGACAAGCGGAGGTGCAAAGATTTCGAATACAGCACGCAGATCTGACTAATTTCACCAAGTTCACGAACCGCACATTCCAGTACTCCATTGTACTTCTCTTGGTGGGATGTTTCTTGAACTTTAACCTGGTCTTGTTCTTAGTATACCAGGGCATTGAAAATCCTTCGATGACTGAAATTGACTGGTCCAAGTGGTTATACATGATCCTCTGGCTTGCCATGCACTTGGGAAAAGTTGTCAGTATCCTGTTTTTCAATCAACAAATCCAAAATGAGGTGAGATAACCATATTTTAATAGGTTTTAAACATCTCTTAATTTTACTTTCTTTCAGCAATCCAAGTGCTTGGTCTTCTTAAATCGAGTGTCATGTACTGACAATGATCTTAGGGAAACTATTACTCACTATATTCTACAAATGCGGACAAATGTACGACAGCATGTTGTGGGTGGCGCCATTGAACTAGACCTAAAATTTGTAACAGCTGTAAGTTTTTAAGTTTAAGTTTCTTAATTTATATTTAATTTTTACAACTCGTTTTCAGTTGCTAGTGGCCTCTGCGGATTTTTTCATCTTTCTGCTGCAATACGATGTAACTTATGAGGCGTTGTCTAAATCAGTTACGGGAAATATAACTAAAACTTAATCCCAAGCGCACATTTCTCATAGTATGTAAGCAAACTAACTTAAAACAACTAAACACTTTTTATTTGAATTAAAAAAGGCGCCATTGCGTAGTCGATAACATATCTATCGATAGTTCGCAGGGCGCAAACATATCGCACAACCCTGTTTTGCGTATCTTGTTTTTTTTTGCACACCAAATAACTTTAATTTTGCTGACCATGTGCGACGTTGCAACAGTGCAGAAGATTGCCAATTGTTTGGGCGTAAATCCCGGCAAGGTGCAGCTCAACGAGGAGCAGGTACACTATCCGTTCAGCTGACCCCCAAAATAGAAAGATTCTATGCCCACGGCATCATCAATTTATTTTCTGTTGTGAAGGTCGTAACGCGCACGAGTGGCCTAAAGAAGAGTGTGGCCGGATTCGCCACTATCCTTGAGAGCCTGGCCAACGAGTCCAAGTCGGAGACTGCCCAAAACAGCAAGGCATCGCGGGAAGTGGAGGCCCAGGTGTACCAGTGGATTGAGTTCTCGGTTCTCTACGTGGCACCCGGCTCCAAGGACAAACATGTGTCCAAGCAACTGCTTGCCGACTTCAATAAACTGTTCGCCAGCAAATCCTACTTGGTGGGCCACTTCATCACATTGGCTGACTTGGCCGTCTACTATGCCATCTACGATCTTGTGGTGAGTTTATATGCAAATCAACGATGTTATGTCCTCCTGATTTTGACTTGCTTGAATTTCTTATTCATTAAAAAAGCAAGACTACTGGCTTTATCAATCTTTTACCTAAACAACCTATATATTCTTTCAGAAATCCCTCTCCCCAGTGGACAAGGAGGCCTATCTGAATCTCTCCCGCTGGTTCGATCACCTCCAAAACCGCCCGGATATCCATCAAGGCGAACCACTGCTGAACTTTACAACGATCTACCTGCACGGCTGGGCCACAGGCACCCACATTTAATCCATTGGAACTAAATATCCATTCACGTCACAAAAGCGACACTTAAGTTATTTATTTCTATTGCATTTCACAATGTAGTTTTGTGTGTGATTATCATTTAATGCCAATGAGAGAGTTCAGCGTTGGAATATGAAGAATCGTTATTGTAACCCACATTACGAGTTGTTCTTTTGATAATTGGATCTCAGCCGTAGCTCCGAATCACGTGCCCTTGCGTTGCGTCGCCGATGCAGCGTGGGCTGTGTAGCAGCGACTCCTGCTGCGCCAACATCAGTTCGCTTGGACCTCGCGCGGCGAGCTGATGGAATTGCCCAGGTCCGTGGGCTCCGTGCACTTCCAGAGGCCGTAGGTCTTGCCCACGGTGGTCTGCCACAACCGGAGAGTTCCGTCCTCGGAACCGCTGGCGTAGAGCTCGCCATCTGGGCTGAATTTCACGCTGTGCACGGGTCCGAAGTGTCCCTTGAAGGATTCTGTTTGAAAATTACACATTAGCTTTTGAAGTTATGCTTTTGTATATAACTGCAATGCCTTACCAATTTCATTTCCTGTGATGTAATCGAATTTGTACATCTTGAAGTCCTCGCCACCGCAAACGAAGACATGTTTATCCGGATGCAAACTGGCCGACGCCACGTTCGTCGGCACTTTCACCTCCTTCAGCTTCTTCAGCGTGTCGATCTCCCAGAAACTGATCGAGGAGCCATGGGCAATGGTCAGGATGTGATTGTCGCTGGAGATTTCCAGGCTGTTCGGGTTGCTGTTGAACTGCAGGCGCTGCACCTCAATGCCCGTCATGCGGTCCCACAGCCGAACCGTCTTGTCCTCGGCCGCCGAGATGATGCACTTGTCGCCGCGGCAGAAGAGCGCCCGCTTGATGGCACCCGTGTGTCCGGCGTACTCCTCCGGTTGGGCCTCCGGCTGCTCCAGGTTGAAGACCCTCACCAGCTTCTCGTTGCTGCCGGTGACGATATTCTCGGAATCCATATCGAAGGCCACGCTCTTCACGATGTGCTTGTGTTGGAAGCTGTGTATCTCGGCGCCGGTCACCGCATTCCACACCTTGCCGGTGAAGTCCGCCGCTCCGGAGGCGGCCAAAGTGGCATTCCGGTTGAGAGTGGCGTTCCACACGGCGCCCTTGTGTCCCTCGAAGGTGCCCACCCAATCGCCGGTGTCGCCGTGCCGCAGCATCGGGCTGCCATCTGCAAGATTCAGAACACGATTCTCGGTCAGTCAGTTGCATTTCGGATTCGGATTCGCTTTCGCCCGGCGAGCGAGTGAGCGAGCAAGCGTGCGTGCATAAATTAGCGAACGGAAGCCACCTTGACTCAATGCCTGCCGCCAAGGCCAACGACCTGGGCGACGCGTCGCTCGCAATCATGCAAGCGAGCTCCCCAAGTTCACGTCACTTGCACTGCACCGATCGGCGGGATCCGGGAGGCAGGGAACTGCAGTTCCCGGGCAGGTTGCTGCAGTGCAGGGACGCGGCTTGTTAGTTCGTTAGGAGCTACATTGCAGTTCGAAATGTTAATGGTCTTCGGTTTGCGGTTATTGTAATTAATGATCAAAATCATTTGGGGAAAACCTTTGACAAATTTAATGGAAACTTAAATGCTTTCGCAATGTTCATGCTTTTAATTTACATGATAACAGAATTTTGTACCCCAAAAAGATAGGGTATCCGACGACCAGAATCTTCCAGATGATTTTCTGCTCCCGACAACCGAGCAGCTGCATATACACAGCATATAAATATAGAAGTTTCAAGGTGCTTCCTGCCTGAACTGAACCGAAAGCACAAACGAGCAAAGTTTTGAAAAGTTGCTAAACAAGGGGAAGCGAGTACGTTAAAAGGCGATAACGAAATTAACTTGAACTTGCAATGGGTATACGTTCTTTCCGCATAAAATGCAACATTTAGCGAAAGCAACGAATGCAAAGCACACACTTGTGTTTTCATATTAAATAGCAATAGCAATCGCATCGACTAGTTGACACCTCAAGGCAAAGAACGCGAAATTTGTAGCATGCGAGTGGCGGGAAAAGGGTTCGCAGCAAACAGGTTTCGCTCGCAATAATGACTTTGATTTTGGGTCAAGGTAAAGTATAGGCTAGACGGAGCTAAATCGTGTTTGCTCGCCAGTAGTACATATGTTTTGCCGATTGACGGATCATATGATGCAGCATCTTTTCAACAAAAACAATACATTTATCAAAGAACGCTTGCCACTGTCAATATAATTTGGGTTTCAACCTTACAATTTCTGTTTACTTTTCCAGCGAAGTTTCTATTTCATTGTGTTTACTAATCCTCTTGAATTTAACAAGTTTATTTGATAGATAAGGTCGTAACCACTTTTTAAAAAAATTTGTTTCTAATCAAAACTTTACATTTTTTCTATGTTTTTATTGTCTATTCAATTCAATTGAATGTTTTTAGTTTTGAGATGCTGAAACCATACATATTCACGTCTTAAGGATGAATATGCGTGCGTTAATTTTAACATGATTTTAGAGGCAATTAACCACTGTGCGACGACGGAATACAGTTTATATATAGCCCACAAGGACGCCAAATCGCATGCGATTTGTCACGATTTTTTACCTTTGCACGCCGAGATGAGAAAGTAGCCGCTGTCGCAGATGTCGCTGAAATCCAGGTGAACCACGGGTCGCGTATGACCGCTGCAAGTCAACGGGATTTGTCGCAAGTTATTGGCAGCCATTACAATTTTGGTCTATTCCTGTTGACCTCCACACCTTCCTGTAATACTTGTTTGTTATTCCGAGTGTAGCAACCGTAATGTCTAGTGAGAATTTGGCAAACTTTGCACTTAGTAAATAGATGGCGGTGTTTTTTCGGGGGTTTAATTTGTACTTCGATTGCTTATTTTGCCTAATTAATAGCTTTTCACTGCCCGTTCGATGAAAAATTTTCCCGTTCGTTGCTTAATTTGTGTTGCTGTTGTTGTTACACTTTTCCAACGCAATCTGCGTATTTTTTGATGTGCAGTAGTGAGCGGTGTATTTACAATTTAATGCGTTGAATTTTATAAACAAGAGGGGAAAATAATTACGCGACACGTTGTTGTTGTGGATATGGACGATTGGTAGCCGACTCCAGTCTCGATAAAAGTTCCCACTAGCGGAGGTTGCGTGAGTCGATTGCCGCTAAAGGCGGTCGATAAGAAGGAACTGTGACAGGGTCAGAGCAAAGGACTGGATCGACAGTGTAACTTAATCCTTCTCTTTTTAAATATTATAGTTTCTTCATGAAAAATCTTTAATATTTGGTGCGTTTTTTTCTTTTAAGAATCATTTAACAAATCACGGAAATATCGATAACTATTCGCAGACAAGTAACGACATTTCGCTGATTAGGACCATCCCTATTTACTTGTCAAAATAGCAAATTTTCATTCGGGCCAGGAATCGATTGAAAATATGTCAGCTCTTCTAAATCACGCAATTCGTCGCCAAATTGGCGTTACTGCCGCCCGGAATATGTCCGGAACTGCCGCCGTGGCTGGCGAGCACTCCGGTAAGTGTCCGTTTGAAGTCCCGATTGCCGAATTCTCCTGCCTTTGTAAGGTTAAGGTTATGTAATTTGGCTGTTGGGCAAGAACGATCCGAGGAGTCTATTTTCTAACACCATATCCTTACTCTACAACCCTTTAGGTGGCTACAAGGTGTGGAAGCGCCTGTCCTTCTTCGTGGCCGTTCCCGCCGTGGGTCTGTGCATGTTGAACGCCTACCTGAAGCACCAGGAGGAGCACGACAAGCCCCGCCAGGAGTTTGTCAAGTACGATTACCTGCGCCGCCGCGAGAAGCGCTTCCCTTGGGGCGAGGGCCAGAAGAGCCTGTTCCACAACCCCCATGTCAACGCCCTGCCCGACGGTTATGAGCACTAGGTGGCCACCGTCTCCGATCCATGGATCTATTCATTGTTTGGTAATGATAACCGTTAATGTAAACTGAAATTTAGGCGGAAATACAAACCCATACTGAAAAATTTTAATCTAAACTCCAGTTGGCGCTTTAATAAAGATCAAACCGCGAGGATATCCTTTAAAGGAGCAGAGATATGGGATATTTAGGAGTGCGCGGGAACACTTTAAGTTAGCACTTTATCTAAAGAACAAGATTCTTAACGACCATGTTACTTTATTGTGTATTCTTTATTTAACTTAGATAATCTTTGCATAACTTAAAGTTTTTACTACTAAAAGGGATTTAGAATGCGAAAAAATACCCAAAGACGAGCTGTGCCTTGGAATACAAAAACCCTTTAATGTGTAAGCATAAAAAGAAGTACAGGTGTTTGATTATTTAGTATTATTACTTCGCTTTACGATTCTGGACAGACAGGCGCTCATGTTTGGGTGGCGACTTGTCTTCCTTTTTGATAACAACTGCCTTTGGACTGATTTTTTGAGTACTTGGAGTATTCCGACTGCGAGTTTGACGCACGGATTCAACTCCCTTGGGAGTTATGATTCTTCGGTGCTTGGAACTCGGCGGCGGCGAAAAAGAATCGTCGCTATCATCTAAATGATCTTCTTCAAGTGTGTCGTCTTCCAAATACTCGGTCTCGAATTCCTCCTGTTTCACGTCGTCCAGATCTTCATCGAACTCGATATGTTCTTCCTTGTCTTCGATGTGTTCTTCCGTGCCCTCTTCTCCCTCTTCGTCAACCACTTCGACTTCGCCTTGGTCTTCGTTTTGGTACGGCTCCATTTCCAATACATGATCGTCCTCGATGTGCTTCTGCAGGCAGCTTTTCGTCAAAAACATATGATCGCAAAACTCGCAGGCGAAGCGCTCGCGCTTCTTGTGCTTATCAATATGGGCGTCGACGCAGTCGATATTCTCAATGCGCTCCCGACACAGCGGGCACTTCAGAGTCTCGTTAGCATGGATCCTCGAATGGTCCAACAGGCTCTTGTAGATTTTGAAAGACTTCTTGCACTGACTGCACCCGAACGCAGCCTCTGACGACTGGGTGTGGGCGCGCATGTGTCGGGAGAGATGGTGCGACAAGACGTACGACTTCGGGCAATACTTGCAGGGATAGGCCCTCTTTCCGGCGTGAGCCAACAGATGGCGAGCCAGCTTGGAAGCGGTGGAGAAGCTCCTGGTGCAGTGCTGGCATGGGAAGGGAAGATTCGTTTGATGGACCATCTGGAAAGGGAAAGGGATGTTACCTATGCACTTCATATGTCAAGTATTCACTCACCTCATGACGCTCCAATCCCTGTTTGAAGGTGAACGACTTGGGACAGACGCTGCACTGGAAAGGACGCTTCTTCTTGTGCCGCTCGGCGTGCTTCTCCATCTCCTGGCGCGAAATGAAAGGCTTCTCGCAGTACACGCAAACAAAGCTCGGGATGTCCGTGTGGGTGCGCTCGTGGCGATGCAGCAGGGCCTTCCGGGAGAAGGCTTTTTCGCAAATGATGCACTTGAAAGGCCGTTCTCCGGTGTGCACAGTGCTGTGCTTGGCCAAATCATATTTTGTGAAGAAGCTTTTCTCGCACTGGGGACACTGGAAACTACGCGTGCGCGTATGATTCACCTGATGGATCTCAAGGAGCTGCTGCAGCGGAAAAGAGCGCTCGCACTGGTTACACGGAAATACGTGGGTGTCCACCTTCTCGGCGTTCTTTTTCGGATCATCCGAATCATCCAACACAACGTCGCCATCCAGGACCTCGGTAACTATGGCCACATTGCCGCTCTCATCTCGCTTGACTTTGGGAATGGAGATGCGCGGTTCCACTGGAGCGGCTGGTCCCTTGTTAAGGATCCTAATCGACGACTTGTTCAAAACCTTCGGCTTGGCAGGAGAAATCTTTAAAGCATCTTTTTCGGCCATCTCCTTGTCCAACTCGTTGGCCATGTCCACCAGCATGTTCTGGACGTCATCCATGGACAGCTCCTGGTTGTTCTCCACCTTCAGCTCGTAGGCTTGTTGTCGGTGATTAACCGGAGGGGAAACCATAATTGGACTAGAATCCAACAAACGGGTTTCCAACACCTCAACATTCTCAATCAGCACTTGACTGGTTTTAGCCATTGTGTTAAGAAGCTTTTTGGGGGTCTCGGGCGCCACGGTCACTGAAGCTGCCGGAGTAACCACCACCTTTCTGGGATTAACCGTCATAATGGGAGCACGAGGCTTCTCTAGCGGCGCTGGCCAATTGCCGGTCAAAGGATACTGACGCAGGAGGGTCTCTGCCCGTCTGCACATCTGCTTGAAGCGGTAGCAGTGCTCGAATAGGAGGCGACACTCCAGGCAGATAAGTTCTGGCATACCATCGCCGGAGTACACCTGTAAACATGAATAAATTCATCAGTAAACTTTACCTTATTCATAAACTCCTATAATAAAGTAAATTTCAAAGTTTGAAAAGTTGTGCCCGTTTATAACGGTAATACCCTCAACAACAAAGTCTTTGTCATCGATGTTTAATCGCGGTGCGAATAACCATTCAATCGATTTATCGACTTCTGCTCATCCCCGCTTGGCGGCAAGTGCATACACACCACTACCTATGCAATCGCAGTTTGTTTTCGCGGCGGCGAGCACGCTTAACCTCCGTTAATTGATTGATTAAGCACGTCTGAGCCATAAAAGGACATTCGGACGTTTGTCGCTCGATTGTTCTGTTAGAAATCAAAGCCAACCGACAAAAGCTGAAAAACAGCTGTGCTGTGAAAAGTTTGGCCAACTCACTAAAAACCAGAACAAGAAGAATCGGACAACAGTCAACCAAAAAAGGGCGCAACAACTTAAGAAGTAGAGAAGGAGGATAAGAAGAGTACAAAATAAAGCAGGCAGACGGCGAACAAAAGGCAAGAAGAAACGCAAACAATCAAACAGAGCCAGAGAGGGACACAAAATGACGGACGAGTGCATAACCAGAAACTATGGTATTCTCAGCTCGAACGGAGCGGGAAATCGGAGCAGCATTATACTTGATAATACCGATGCCAAGGGCTGTACGCCGGAGTCTGTTGTTGTTGGTGGTGCAACTGCAGCGAGGTAAGTCCATGTGCAGCGCTCTCTCTGTTCGGCTCTCCTTTTCTTATATTGCTCTCTCCCTTTCTGTGTATTGTTTTTAGCCCTTGTTATCAGTGTTGTTGTTTTGGTACAGTGATTGAAAAATTCGAATATCCTTTTTTGCAGTTTCAGAGACTTTTTAAAAAGAGCTTTTCATTACTTGAAGAACATTTTAATTTTTTACGTTATGGATTTATCTAATCTTAACAGTAGCGCTTTCAATTATGTTTTTCGTTTTGCAAATTTTACACTTTTAATATGTCAAGTTTTAGGAGGAGATAAACAAAACGATTTGTTTGGTAGTCGTACACTTCAAAACCACGTCATAAATTTGAAAATTACAATACACCAATTCAACAACGACATTAACAAATGAAGTGCCCAATGGTACTTAACATTAGTCATAAAAAGCCAAGTTCCTAATTGATAGGGATCAATTTGTCAAATACTCAAAAGCGAAACAATCCGTGAAAGTGATTCTTATCATTGGTATTCTTTTGTTTATTTGGTTATGAAAGGGATACGCAGCAAAATAAACCTGCTTCCCTTTTTCCCCTATAATATGGTGAAACCCCTAACTAAACACATCTTTACATAATTGAATAGTCATCATTGCTAATTTTGGACAAACGCCTTATCTAATCTAATCGCTTGGCTTTCGGCAATAGAATCAAAATATGTTATTAAATCGTAAATGCATTCTCTTCTCAGCGCCTCTCCCCTACCGGCCAATAAATTTGTGGCTCGAATGCCCGTAGAACGATATGCTAGCGAATACAATATGAATCACAAACACCGCGGGCTGGCCCTGATCTTCAACCACGAACACTTCGATATACCCTCGCTGAAGAGCCGCACAGGAACAAATGTGGATTCTCAAGAACTTTACAAGGCCTTGGATGCCTTGGGGTTCACGGTGTCCGTTCACAAGGACTGCAAGTTGAGGGATATCCTGAAGCACATCGAAAAGGCAGCATCGCAGGATCACACTGATAACGATTGCCTGGCTGTGGCAATCTTGTCTCACGGAGAGCACGGCTATCTGTACGCCAAGGATGTGCAGTACAAGCTGGATAATATCTGGCACTACTTCACTGCCACCTTCTGTCCCTCGTTGGCGGGCAAGCCGAAACTATTTTTCATCCAAGCTTGTCAGGGCGATCGTTTGGATGGAGGAATAACCCTGGAGAAGAGCGTTACCGAAACGGATGGAGAGTCGTCCATGAGCTACAAGATACCCATACACGCAGATTTTCTCTTCTCTTACTCAACTATTCCGGGTAAAGATAATCATTCTATACAAATATCTCACATTTGACTAACAATTTACCATTTGTAGGCTACTTCTCGTGGCGCAACATCAACAACGGCTCCTGGTATATGCAGTCGCTGATCCGCGAGCTAAATACGAATGGAAAAAAGTACGACATTCTCACCCTGCTCACATTCGTCAACCAGCGGGTTGCTCTAGACTTTGAGTCGAACGTGCCCGCCACTCCGATGATGGATCGCCAGAAGCAGATACCGTGCCTCACTTCCATGTTGACGCGCATATTGCGTTTTGGGGACAAACCGACCGGCAACAAGGCCGGCTAAAAGACTTATCTTTTGACTTAAATAGGTTGTACAACCATCTCCCGCAATCATTCACTTTGGATTCCATGTCACTTCAAGTCTAGTTTTAGGTGACCCGTGTGATTATCCCGAAGGATATGAAGCACATCGACCCATTTCATTTCTCTTACCCACCCATTTTAGGCCTTATCGTTGACGAAATTCGTTACCCACCTACGTTTACGAGCCCCCTAATATTAGCAGATCTTGCCAATCAGCAAACCCACAAATTTGAGATAAGATTGATTATATAATGAATATACACGCAAACATATATATATTTGATATACGAATAAAAATGAATTGAAAAAATGAATAAGTTTTTGACATAATGATCAACAAGAGATTTATCCTTGCTTTTAATATTTCATTTTAAGGATTTTTGTTTAGAAAGCAATTCGATGCAATTGGAACCTGCTGAATATTGAGTACACTTTAAAAAATATACATATGTACAATTCCTACTAGCTTGGTTAGTTCTTGTTTGAATATTTATCTTCCAATCCGCACATAAAAGATTTAAACCGATATCATTTGCATTGAAAAATATAAAGTTAAATTGAACTTTTACATTTTGGTGCTTAAAGTAAAAGAAAATAAGATTTTTTGGCGCCAAATAACAAAACTGACATCTGTCATCGGAATCAGCTGACTATGCTTGTGTGTGTGTGTGCAGACCAGTACAGTTGCCACAATGATTAAGATGCGTTTTTTCATACACAGATTGTGTGGGAAGTTCCAATGAATCAGTGGCTAATCGGTGGGTTTTATCCTTAGGCTCCTTCAAGGGGCTTATCATTTGGGGGGAAAACAGAGAGAGGGGCAACTGCGAGGCGGGGAAACTTAGCGAAGACGCCTTTGCACCCAATTCGGAAACCCACCAGCAGTTTCTTAGCCAAGTTTTGCGTGGCGGAATTTTAGTGTACGTTAGAACCCCGTTAGCCGTTATCCGCTTACCTCGATCGCCGTGATAGCCATGATCTGCAGCGGCAAGTTTGCAGTTGATTTCACCCGGGTGTTTTCCTCAAAAATCGAGGCCAACTTCTGCTCCGTAAGGCAGAAGCGGCATACCTTTCTTTCGACAAGCACCGCCTCGCGAGCCTCCAGCTTTGCGGCCATCGCGACAAATGCAATCAAACGGTTTCGGAACGCAGATAAATAATACGGGAATTCAACTGGTAAAGTCGGGACACAAAAGCAAGGAAAACAATCCACTTGGCGTCTTTTCTATTGCACAAACCACGCGGGAGTTGCCAAGTCGTCGGGACAGTCAAATAGAGCTGCCACTCGTGCAAGGGCTGACAAAATATCGGCAGTCTCACGTTTTACCGATATTTCAAGTGCGTCCCGACTAAGCATTGTTCCCACTTAACATTAAGTCCATTTAAAAAGGTTTTAATATTTTATGAATGAATGTTCAAAATAAATGGTTTATTTTTTTAATAACATATAAAGAGTTGAATCTTTGTGGCCAACAAGGTACACGAAGTTATTACCCATTAGTTAAACACACATACCTAACAAATTTGGGAAGCTTTTTCTCAAATAATATATTTGAAGTAAAACAGTATTACAATCTCTTAATCTTATAGTTTTCAAACTAATCATCGGCGTCCCTTAAACGTGCCTGCGTCTGCTCGCCAATGTCGTAGATGACACTCTGTTGTAGAAGCTCATGGGCCTCGTACTTTAGGGACTCCTCGTAGGCGTACTGTATGCTAGTATCGTAGATCATCAGCTTGCACTTGGCCAGCGCCAGGATGGAGTTCCTCAGCCGGGCGATCACTTCCCGTTCAGCTCGCGGTACTGGTTCATTCAAGTTCTGCGCGAATCCTCCTTCGCCGCCCTCCTGCTCCTGACCCTTGGTGGGGGATATCCAGATGTAGCCATTGTTGCCCAGAATTACGGATGCGCCGCAGGGCAGATTGTGGAAATGCATCTTTCTTCGCTTGACGAGAGCGGGGAAAACCTTTACCAGAATGCCTTGTGATAACTTTCCGTACTTCAAACTGCGCGTGTAAAGGGAAAGGGATCCCTCTTCGAAGATGTTCTGGACTTCCGCGGAAATGAGGTCGCCTTCATCCAAATAGCGTCGCATCATCTGCTCGTCCTCGGCGGATCTCCGCCTTAGTTCGCCGCCCGGCAAATTGACCGAAGAGAGTAGGAGAGCGGAGTCCAGCCGGGAATTGGTGTCGACTCGCCAACGCTTCTGTTGCACCTCGATGACGCGGGCCACCACCACATCCCCGATTTCGCCAACATAGCGACTCTTCAGCGGACGCACGGAGATCAGCTTGTTGACTTTCTGGATCACTCCGGCCACTGAGGCCTTGATGTTCTCATCCTCCACAAAAGTTCCGTGGCCACGCATAAAACCCGCCTCCGGCATCAGAACTTCGCCAGGTGTATAGACTCGCGGCAGGTGTTCCGCGTGGGAGGCAAGGTCACGCCAGTCCACCCGATCCAGGGCCAATTCAATTGAAGCGTTTGTGGTCATCTCGGCGGGATTTAGGTTTGCTTTAGTTTGTTTTAAACAAGGTAAACAAATGATCGAATTCGAGCGAGGTAAGTGAGCAACAGCTGGCAAAACACGCGCGCTGAGGAACTAGTTCTGGTTCGGTGCACGTTTGCATGCCGGTTCTTCGCCGCAAATGTAATGGAAGTCATTAAGGCGAATTGAAATATGAACGTTCAATTGCAACAAAATATAAAATAAATTTTAATATCATACTTTTCTGAATTCAAAATCATTTATTTAAAAAGGACACTACAATGTAGCTTGAACATAAGAATTATGTAAATAGATCCATGCAATTTTGTAATCTTCTAATGAATCCCCACTGTACTTCGCCGAGTCGCAACCTAATCAGCTGTTTTCTGTTGTGGGCAATCATTGTTCCTGCTTTGTGAAAATTACGCATAAATGAAAAAATAATTTTGACATCAGGAAAATGGACCAGCCCGATGACCATTTCCGCTATATCCACAGCTCATCGCTACACGAACGCGTACAAATCAAAGTGTAAGTGGGGAAAAGCAGGAAAGCTATAAAAATCAAACCATTGCTTGTTTTTTAGTGGGACGCTCGAGGGGAAGAAGCGACAGCCGGACTATGAGAAACTGTTGGAAGACCCCATACTGAGATTCTCCGGATTGTACTCCGAGGAGCACCCCTCGTTCCAGGTGCGTCTGCAGATTTTCAACCAAGGCAGACCCTACTGCCTCCCAGTAACCAGCTCGTATAAGGCTTTCGGGAAGAGATGGAGCTGGAACGAGTGGGTTTCCCTTCCGCTGCAGTTCTCCGATCTGCCGAGGAGCGCCATGCTGGTCCTGACCATCCTCGACTGTTCGGGAGCAGGCCAGACCACTGTCATTGGTGGCACCTCCATTTCTGTCTTCGGCAAGGATGGCATGTTCCGCCAGGGAATGTACGACCTACGCGTTTGGCTGGGAGTCGAAGGCGATGGCAACTTTCCCAGTCGTACGCCCGGCAAGGGCAAGGAGTCCTCCAAGTCGCAGATGCAACGCCTTGGAAAACTGGCCAAGAAGCACCGAAATGGCCAGGTGCAGAAGGTCGACTGGCTGGACAGGCTTACGTTCCGCGAAATCGAGGTGATCAACGAGAGGGAGAAGCGTATGTCCGACTATATGTTCCTCATGATCGAATTTCCCGCCATCGTGGTGGATGATATGTATAATGTAAGTCCTAGAAACTGTGATCTTAACCAAGTCTAAATTATACTTTTCCTTGCAGTATGCAGTGGTCTACTTTGAACCAGAGGGCGATGTAAAGTATAAACTACCAGCCAAACCGAAGCTGGTATCCGTGCCCGATTCGGAAATTCAAATGGTAGTTGAAGCAAGTGAAACCCATAGAATTTTATTAACCCATAATTATATTGCAGGAAAACCTGGTGGAAAGAAAGCACCATCGATTGGCTCGTTCAGAGCGATCGGGAATTTCGGACAGAGATGCCAAACCCACGGCTAGGTAAGATTCCCAAGCAGATTGTTTATTTATACTTATTCAAATCTTTTCGCAGCATTCGCGATCAGCTGCACACCATTGTCTATAGGTATCCACCTACCTATGTTCTGAGCAGCGAGGAGCAGGATCTCGTATGGAAATTCCGCTTTTATCTCTCCTCGCATAAAAAGGCATTGACCAAGTTCCTGAAGTGCATCAATTGGAAACTAGAGGACGAGGTCACCCAAGCCCTCTGGATGCTGGCGAACTGGGCTCCCATGGACGTGGAGGACGCCTTGGAGCTACTGAGTCCCACTTTTACGCACCCCCAGGTGCGAAAGTATGCCGTCAGTCGATTGGCCCAAGCACCAGATGAGGATTTGCTGCTATACCTGCTGCAGTTGGTGCAGGCCCTAAAGTACGAGGATCCCCGGCACATTGTTCATCTGCACAGCTGCATCTTTCCCGAACGGGATGTGGTGCGATCTATCCTGGACGACAATGGCTCGCTGCTGGACCAGAGCAGCTTGTCCGATCTGAGTGCCACCAGCAGTGGACTGCACGCCTCGGTGATTCCAGCTAATCAGCGGGCTGCAAGTGTTTTGGCCGCCATCAAGGGCGATAAGTCAGTGAGTCCCGGTTCCGCGGGTGGCAGTGGAGGCCAGGGATCGGTTCCGCTTCCGGGAACCTCAACTCCAGTCACTCCGGCCAGCAGTTCCCTGCCCTGCGATTCCAATTCCAATGCTCTCATGCTGGCCGAGGGCATCGGCTTTGGCACGGTTCCCGCCAATCTCTGCACATTCCTGATCCAGCGCGCCTGCACGAATGCCACGTTGGCCAACTACTTCTACTGGTATTTGTCCATCGAAGTGGAGGAAGTGGAGTCAGTGAGGAAGCAGGACGAAAGGGCCCATGACATGTACGCCTTGGTGCTCAAGATGTTTCTGAAGGTGTTAGAGAATGGTGGGTGTTTTTAATAGAAGAAGTTGCCTTTTTAAAATCTTTATTAATGCTTTTCAGGCAACTTCAATCTGCGAGGCATCTTCTATAATCTTCGCAAGCAGCGTCGCTTCATTGACGAGCTGGTTAAACTGGTTAAACTTGTGGCCAAGGAGCCGGGAAATCGCAATAAGAAAACGGAGAAGTTTCAAAAACTTTTGGCCGAACAGGATATGTTCAAAGTGAACTTTACCAACTTTGAGCCGATTCCTTTCCCCTTGGATCCAGAAATCTACATCACCAAAATTGTGCCCATGCGCACTTCACTCTTCAAGAGCGCTTTAATGCCGGCCAAGTAAGTCACCTTGAAATGGATATATCTTAAGTACTTCTGCTAAATGATTCCTTTTTTTTTTTAAACCCCTAGACTAACTTTTGTGACCTCGATTGCCCAGCACGAGTACGCAGCCATTTTTAAGCACGGTGATGATCTGCGTCAGGATCAGCTTATTCTGCAGATGATCACGTTGATGGACAAGCTGCTGAGGCGAGAGAACCTTGATCTAAAACTGACTCCCTACAAGGTGCTGGCCACCAGCTCGAAGCATGGATTCCTGCAGTACGTCGACTCGTGCACGGTTGCAGAGGTCCTTGCTCGCGAGGGAAACATACACAACTTTTTCCGGAAACATCATCCGTGCGATAATGGTCCTTATGGCATTTCGGCGGAAGTCATGGACACCTACATCAAGAGCTGTGCGGGCTACTGTGTGATTACCTACTTGCTGGGTAAGACTACAGAACATTTGGCTGAAAGTTTCCATTTATTATTGATTCCTTTTTCAGGCGTGGGTGACCGTCATTTGGACAACCTGCTACTGACCACCAATGGCAAGCTCTTCCACATCGATTTCGGCTACATATTGGGACGCGATCCCAAGCCCATGCCGCCGCCTATGAAGCTGAGCAAGGAAATGGTGGAGGCAATGGGCGGAATCAGTTCGGAGCACCACCACGAATTCCGCAAGCAGTGTTATACGGCGTATTTACATTTGCGTCGGCATGCCAACGTGATGCTCAACTTGTTCTCACTGATGGTGGATGCCACAGTGCCGGATATTGCTCTGGAGCCCGACAAGGCGGTCAAGAAGGTGGAGGAGAACCTACAGCTCGGTTTGACCGACGAGGAGGCCGTCCAGCATTTGCAGAGCCTGCTTGACGTATCTATTACCGCTGTAATGCCGGCGTTGGTGGAGCAGATCCATCGATTCACTCAGTACTGGCGGAAGTAAACGACATTTACTATCCCAGATGGGTCAACAAATTGTAGCATGAACAAGTTATCTTTTCAGCAACCTGTAAACCTATCTTACTGCTTCCCCAATTAATCATACATCATCTTAGTTGTAAGATCGCTTTAGTCGTAGGTGGCGTGTAGCTACAAGTCTGTAATCCGGAATTTAAATGTATATCTGTTTAATGCCTCAACTGTAACAAAGCCAATTATTTGAAGCAACATGCAGGTGCGCACAAAGAAGCCGGTTTGGTTTCTGTTCAAGTTGATGGAACTATTGTTGAGCCTCGGATGCTGCATTATCCACTGGCGCTGTTTCATGGAGGAGGGTGTTCCGCACATATTTATTCTATGCGGAACTTATGGCGGATCTGTGATTATCTGTTTGCTGTCCTTGATCGGAGCATTTTATGCGGAGCGTCCGACGATGAAGCATGAAGCTGCATTTGGAGGCATGTTGGGTGTCCTACACATTTTCACAGTATACGCCCATATGTATATGGCCACGTTGGAGGAGTTTCAAACTGATAAATGGCCTAATTTCTACATGTGCTGCCGGGATAACGCCTTGATAGCCCTCTACGCAGGCGCAATTTATCTGTTACACTGCACCTTCGCTTTGGATTTAATGATCTCCCACAAACAGAGGAAGATGCGTACTCAGAGGAGCAAGAGACCTCTCCGGCTGTACTTCATCAGTCCGGGAGCGGAGGCCTATTTAAGTCGTTTCTGGTGGTATCAACGCATTGCCGCCAACTTGTTGACCAGTGCCCATGCATCGGAGCACTCCAGCCGAAAAAATTATAGCTTCTCCGACTCCTCTGAATCCGACTCGGAAGCCACGGAGATGGGCATAAAAGATAAAGAATCATTTTTAAAATAGCTTATTTTGTTTTTTATTTAAATTTTACTTAAATTGAATTAAAATTAGCATATATGATTTAACAACCTTTCTCGTTAAATTTCTGCTTCCCAATCGATATTTCGATACAATATTATAGTGCGTAAGCTTTCAAACTTCTAAATGGTTGATCGATATCGGAGTGCACACAACCCGCGCACTTTGACAGCTGTTCGTTGATGGTTTCTTACGGTAAATCAAGTGTTTGGAACGCGTGTGACTTAGTAGTTATATTTGCTAAAATTGTGACGATTTTGTGTATGTTAAGGTAAAAGTGCCCAGTAAAATTTAAACTTTAATAACGATGGCGCTGGCGAACGGAGCGGTAAGTGGCGAGGGACGGTGCTAGGTCCATTTCCCCATTGTTCGTTCAGATGCATTTCTGTCTGCAAACTTTTCTGATTTTCATAGTTCGATGCGTGGTGGAAACTTCTGCGGCTGGCTCTTCTGCTCCAGCTCTGTGTGCCTGTGGTTTTAGTTAGTGGCAGGTATTCGAACCTAAAACTTTTGCTAAAAGTTAGCCGGGGCAACTAAAGTTACCAGCAGACGCACCGCAAAAGCACATGGAGCACACTCGCACCCACATGCATATAAACATTTAGTCCCAGGCGGCCAACTTAGTAGTGAAAAATATACAGTGGTGTTACACTAAAATTAAGATTTTGGCCCTTTAGCATAAGCATTGCAGGTTTTGTGGCTAGAAAAAAATAACTAAACATAATTGGTCAGCCACAGTGGAACTTACATGCTTAAAACGAACTAGCTAGCAGATCTTTAAAAAATTGGTTTCCTTACCTTGTATTTAAGTTTATCATCTTATTGCATTATTCTTAATTACATTATAAATATGCAATTAAAACAATGACTTGTAACATTTCAGTTTTCTTTTATTATTCATATTCTTATGTACATATTCCAATTTTTTTTTTTAATTTGAGTATTATTTTTTTGCTGTTATTTATCGTATCAGGCGGAAGCTGCCACGTACATATGTGGCAATACTTTGATACCCTTCTTTGATTGGCTTTGACACATATACAGAAACCCCTAATTCTTGTGGAATTTCTTAATCTAATTATACTTTGTTTTCCGGACTTCTTTTTATTGTTGCTTCGTTTTAAATGAACATATTTATGTATATTTAAGCACTCAATCTTGAACAAATTAAGTTATCTAAGTTTTCAGTAGAACTTTTTATCATTAAACTGTGGGTGGCAAGCTTTATTGTGAAAAAAGAACATGTTTTCGAAACACAAAATTTTGTGTACTTCCATACTTACCATCGCTTTGTGACACGGTGCTACGTTTTCTTTTTTAAAAGATCTATTTTGAGGCTTTGAATGCTCGCTGATTTTATTTCAAGTTTAAACAACACTCTAATTATACAAAATTTAGTAAATTAACTGTTTGCTGTACATTTTAGGCAATTAACTTATATTTATTTAGAAAACACTTAAAAATGGCCAGCCCCGCGGTTTTTAAAATTTAAATAAAATTGGTAATCGATGTATCGATTCATCGAATAAGTTTCGGTTTTGTTTTTTGATTTAAAGTTTGAGTTTCGGACAATAAGCGGATTGAAAACTTTAATCCTTTGAAAACTGAAATATAATTCAAAAGTATTTTATACCTACACAAACGTAAAAGTTTGCCTATTCTATGTTCTTTAAGATCGAGTGAATGCTATATAAAATTAAAGGATTTCTCATTTTTAAAATAAATGTTAATAAATTAAATGTATGGAATTTTAAGACTTCACCTAATACGTGTACCTCTTGGAGGAAGTAAAGATTAGTCATTAAACGTGGTTTTCACTTGGTTAGTTTGGTAGAATGGAAGAATTCATCAAGGAAATTATGAATAATTATAAATGGTCGTTATTTGAAAAATATGCAGCCCGAGTAAAACGCTCTTATCCGAACACTACGAGTATATCTGTATCCCGCTCTTCCCGAAGAGAGTTCGTTGCAGCTGCAACTGAGTGGAAGTGGGAGCAAAATCGGGGAGCTGGTGAGCGAGCTAGTGTGAGTCACCCACCGCTGTTAACTGCACTCAACTTGGCCTTTGTTATTGTCTGCGGTTGTGGCTGCAAGCCAGCGACCGAACCCACATCCCCCTCTTGGCCCCAAATCCCCCGCCGCTCGTGGTCCTTCGAGCCAAATGTGCAGCACGTGTTCATTTTCGTGTGCAAAGTCACTTGGAATGCCAAGTTGAAGTTATGTGTGCGCCTTTTTTTCACTTTTTTTTTGCAGACTTTTAGCTGGCTGTTTGGATGTGGGCGTGTGTGTGGAAAAGCGTGTGCATCTGAAAGATACATTTTCTAGATCGCAGCATGTTTGGTTTAGTTGGCAGCTAAATTTCACTACGTGCAGTTTGCGGTGGGTGTTGGAGAATATGTTTCGGAATTCCAACTATGTTTCGCCATAACAAAATTGCCGGCTGGTGATAACGGTGATAAAACGTCGATTTTTCAAGTTGATTAAGTGAATTTACACTGATTAGTTAATTGGGAATGTGCAGTATCACATATTGGATATAGTGAGGTAACTGTCTCCAAGAAGAAAGCGTATGAGCTAATAAGCGTATAGTATGATTCACAATAACAGATTAGCGAATGCATTTTTCTAATTCTACCCATTGATCGTAATTTTAAAAGGGCATATTGTGTTCACAAACAAATGTAACATACTTTTGCATTGGAAGTTAACCTTTAATTCTTATATAATTTTTAAATGTTCATATATGAATACTTAGAAGTATTCAAATTAGAAGTATTCAAATTTGTACAGAGTTATAAAGAAACTATTTTCACCTTAGTATTTAAAAATAAAAACACAAAAAGTTCTAATTTCTTACATATTTGAATAATAGTAATTTGAGAAGAAGCTAGACTGTATTTAGGTTGCCAGCACGTTTCATTAATTAGTAATCACTTGGGGTTTTCACTCTCTTTCGTTCACTCTTTTCCAATTCTTGGAACCCTACGCTAGTTCGGTTATAATTTCACAATCAACTCATGGGTGCCACTGTAATTGAAGTCTTAACTCTGACTTCCTATGTGCAGTCGGTTTTAACTGGAACTTTGGGGTTGTCGAGTCGTTCTGTCTTCCCCATCGGCGAACTTAACTCCCGAAATGAAGGTTCCCAGCAGAGCACTAAACCACCGAAAACCCCTCGTCGGATTTTAGCCCAAAAACGCTGTGTACGTGACGCTAGTTCAGCTCCATAGATCGTCCGGTGGTAATCAGTTTACGCTGACGGCGTTCGCTTACCACTTTCCCCTCTTTCAGTGCACCCCCCAAAAGCCCTTTCCCCACGCCCCTGACCCTAAAGACTCATACAGCTGGGGTCAGTATACTAGATGGGTTCTGGAGTAAGAAATCTCTAAAACCCATACCAAAAAAAAAATATTAATTAAAAATCTTAGCCATAAATAGTGAAAAATATAAATTGATATTCTAGTTCATTGGATTCTAATTTCAAAAGAACTTGTCACTTATATTTATTATTTATATGTATTTATATTTATATTTATTTCACATTATTCTATAGGACTCGTACTGTTCAATAAGCCTTTCTGCTTTATTTATCTCCAAAGAAAGGATTATTAAATTATTACACTCAAAATTAGTAGTTATATTCTTCCATATATTATAATTTTAAGTAAGCTACCGTGTTGACCCCATCTGTGAATAAGTATGCACATTCATAGTCAAATCCAACTCCAAGTCGTGTAGCTACATGCAAAACTCTATGTAAACCAAAATGGGTTTCATTTATTTTTTTTTTGTGCAATTCTATTTTGCTGCCGTTCGTTTTTCATGAACCGATACTAACACGAGTGCTACTATTTCAGTTGGTTACTAAATATTTAGTGCTTCCCCTCCCAGCGTGCCCCTCAAAAACTCGAGAAAACGGGCTGACTAAGCGAACGAGCAACAAGCGGCAGCGGATGAAATGTCGCGCCATATTAACCATATTGCCCAGAGCCAGAAAAGGGGGCTTTTGCAGTGGCTTTTGCATACTGCCCATGCCCCACTATGTGGGGTTTGCACCCCCCCCCCCCCCTCCCTCCTTCCTTCTGCCCATTATCCCCTTTTGTTTGCCCCTTTTCGCCCGCATCTGTCGCCTGGCAGTTAGCTGCATTTGCTCCAATTGTTTGTTTGTGTTGGCCTGCCAGCCAGCGACCAAGTACAGTGGAGCTTTATAGGCAAACCAATTTTCGATTTCTTTATAAGGGGTGTAAAAACAGTGCTGGTTATTTTAGAATAATGCAGGTGGAATAAAATAAGAGTTTTTTTTAATTGATTTAACCCAAAGGGCTTTATTAATTTTGTTCATTTCTAAATACTTAAACAGACAAATAAATGTAATCAACTCGAAATTAGTTATGTTAAATCTGGTTAGGAAATTATTGGTTGATTTTACAGAGTTACTACTCTTTTGTTTAGTTGTGTTCGAGTGTGGCGCTGTGTTTTCACTGCAGTTGTTGTTGTCCACAACGTGATAAAAACTTTAAACATTGAATTGTGATACTTCGTCACTTGGTTGTAAATTGAAATAAGACTACCTTCCTCTCGTGCCCCCCGAGTATATTCCCCATTTCCCCAGACAGCCCCCCTCGCTGAAACGTTAAGCGAAATGCGAGGCGAAAGCAAAAACAAAATAGATGGGAAAACCAAATAAAAAGAAAAATCTCTTGCAATTGTCAGCAAATTTTCTTCAAATACGAGAATCCAGCGGCGACGAGAGTCCCGAGTCGAGGAGAAAGCGGAATTCAAGGAGGAGACGGCGGACCCAGTGAGACATTTGTTTAGTTAAGTTTTCAGTTTTGTAAGTTTTATGATTTAAATGCAAACACACACATACCGACACACTCATCGTTTATTTTTTTTTTTCTACGTGGGTATATATGTATGTTTATATGTGCATTCATTATTTATGTGAAGCTTTGCCCGATTCCATATATTCCACTCCTCGATTACCCGATCCCACTTCCAATTTCAGTGCACTTTCTGACGCCTTCGGTTTGGCTCCTC